AACCTGCTGCCGCCCTACAGCACAGTACCCCCTCATTACTTGCTTGGACTCGTTCGTCCGCTTTTTCTTCTCCATCTGCGGCTGATGAACTAAGGATGAGGTGGGCTCACTTGGAGCGCAGAGTCGCCGAGTTAAAGCACCCGCGTCATCGTTGGCCACTAGGTTTAACGCGATCGAAGCTGTGGAATTAATTAATTCATCGACGATATTGTATGTTTGCTTGACTCGCCCACTTTTGGATTGTCCCGGCTTTTGACATGTGCTTTTCATGTGGGCGCCATGTGGGGTTGTTCATCAGTATGGAAAATAGAGTCCAAACGGATCCTGTTCTTTTGGCTTGACGGACAGAGAACTGATGCAGTCTGTAATATTTGGTGTCTCCGCCCAATATCAGACCGGCATGTTGAATCAGGGACACGGCAGCCACCCACGGCCGTAATTTTGGACAGGCACAACAAAGATGCCTTTTCTCTCGTACGTACGGAGTATGCCGTACCATGGACAGGGCCTGCTATCAGAGGATATCCGTACGAGGACAAGTCCCTTGGCGTCGGATGGGTTGAATAGATGGGTGGATACTCGGGACCCTTGGAGCCACGATGATGATGGGCTGCATTGACCCACGTCGCGCAAGTCTCCAGTCTTCCCAGCCATTCGCCCATTCATTGCACTCTCAGCCAAATCGCCAGGCTTTTATTTGACCTTCAACGTGGCTGGTGGCGTTGCGCCGCCCATGAAAATTCCCTTGCTCCCCTGCTCGCCCGCCAGGAGACCCCTTGACCAACTGACGAGACTTGCCCTGGTTCCTTGGAGTCTCGCGGCTTGGCTCCTTTGGAGGTAGGTGGTTGGTGGTTCCGTCCTTTCTATCTGGTAGAACATGGCCCGAGCCCGACACCGGCAGAAGCCTAGCAGACTTTGGCCTTGGAAATGTGACCAATCGGCCATTACAGTTGGCTGAGTGTGTGTCTGGTCCGGTAAGTGTTGGAAAGTCAAATTCGAACACTACGGAGAACGGGATAACAACGGGCCACAGTCCAGTTCACCTTGCGAAGGATTTCGGTGGGCGGAGGGCTGCTTGGAAGCTGATCGGAGGTCGCGACAATGGTAGCTATCGAAAACGACTCCTACATGTATGGAGCACTACTGGAGAATATGGCATGAACACTGCTTGGCGAGGGGAAAATCCTTGACAGTTTGAGACAAGCGCCACTAGCAACAACCTGACAGTCGCCTCGCTTTTGCAACCACTACAACCGTGTGTATGCTGCATTTACGGCAAGTTTGTGCATATTACTGCATTGCATCTGAGATGTAAGTCTTGCTTGAGGATCGACCAGCATCCGGACCACTGGCAATGCTACCTGCAACGAGTCTTTTGTTGTCTTGTCATACATAAAGCCGTGTATATTGGACGACAAACCACATATCTTGTTACACAGCAGCTTCAGCTGGCTGCCATTTGGCCAATTTCGCTGTGCTCATGTAGCTACAACATTCAGGGTCAGTCCTCTTTGTTCAGGACTCTCTCACTCCATTCTGTGCCATCGATCGTTGACTGGCACTGACGACTTTTCTTTTCTCAGGCACGAGTCTCGTGCGACCTGCTCTTGAATTGCAGCCAGGCGCTCATCCGGTCAGTTCTCCAGGCTTGTCTTCAAGGTTTAACAAGGGACATAGCAAGCAGATCTCTCAAGGAAGTCACCGCGAACGGCTCTCTGCCTCAGTCGGTCGATTCGTGGCCATGGCCGCGTGGGTCCATGGGTTCTACTCGGGCTTATGTTGCGGGTTATTACTCCGTACGGAGGAGCACACAGGACTGCATATAGCGGCCAGCTCGATGTGGGATCTATAACTCGCAACCTTGGTACATACTAGCCTTTGCCATTAATACTACCAAGGTAGTTATCGGACCGTTAGAAGCGGAGTCGTCAACTGGCCCTCGTTAGTCATGAGGCTTGTCGCAATACTGGGCCGGCCGGCTATTCAAGCAGCTGCTTATGATTCTCAAGACGGCAAGATTGTTCCCAGATGGGACCATGGGCTAGACGCATATTTCGTTTGCAATTCATTGACAAGACGGAGTAGTTGACGGTTTCGAGTGCGGAGTACCGGTGGGATAACCACACGCGCCATCAAGACCAGACATGCATGCGCTTTAATACAGGTTTAAAAGCCATGCCGTTGTCTAGCGGCAAAACCTTCCTCTTTGGATCGACATGCACCAGCCGGTGGCTCATCCAAGGTGTTTACTCCGTTCCTCTTGCTTCCCCTTGAACTCGACAATGTTTTTCGATACTCGGTACAATACTGGTGCTGCCCATACTATCTCAGAGGCTCGTAGCCGGGACAGTGCCTCCATTTCCCCGGGGATGTATGTAGTCTTGAGCCCTGGAGGGAACCTGGAACGCAGAAGTCCACCAGTTAGAAACACCAAAAATCGAGACAGAGCTTGGCAGGAGACCCGGCATGCTAGCATCTGACTTGATACCGTACCCACGCACACCCACCGCGGGGGCTGGCAACTGGGTTTGCCAGTTGCTAGGCTGACAGTGGCTTACACGTAAGGCAAGTGTTATCGATGTGTCGTGCGATCAGTCACTTCTATCGAAAATGCAGTGGATTTATTCTCGAAGCTGCCCTGGTCTGCAAGTGGGAACCAGCAGTCAGCACCTACACGCAATACTACGCAAATCGACGTGGAATATCTACCCAGTCGGGTGACGTTGCTTCAGAAGGTTGCTGACTACCATATGACCGAGCAATGTTGGCGCTGCAACTCATCCCACTTCCCGAACAGGTCTCCCGGCTCAGGGAGATTCGTTCGGCGGTATCCGGACATGTTTGAGTATCTGGGGCATCAGGTGAACTGCTCAAATTTCAGTTTCAGTCTTTTAATAACACTGCATAGATGGTCGGTATACAATATATATAAACAAGGTCTCGTCGGCATTCCACGAGTCCTTTCCTCTCTCTCTTCATCACCTCTCTTTTTCCAACAAGAGCCCCAACTACCCGTAAGACCCCTCTTCTGCTAAGTTTCCCGAAACACTGCAACCTCCCACTTGCTGACATCGGCCAGAGCCATCAAATCCACCGCACGACAAATCACCAGTACTGTCCCCGAGAGACCTAGTGGGTAAAAAAGCTACACCAGCTAATATCAACAAGAAAGCCCTTTATGATAAGAAAGAGGCTAAAAAAAAATAACATAGAAATTATTAATAAGGCTATTAAAGATATGGAAAAGAAAGAGAAAATAAGGTGCTATGAAAATAATATCAATATCAAAGCTATTAATAAGACTTAAGAGATCTTAGCACCGCTTTCTCTTTCTTTTACGTGTCTTTTATAGCCTTAATAATAACTTTTATATTAAATTTTTATTTTTTACTAGCCTCTCTAATAATAAAGAGCTTTCTTGTTAATATCCAGCTGGGGTAGCTTTTCAACTCACTGGGTTTCGTTAGCTTCAATCCTCGAAGATTGCAATGGCAAACTTACTTGTAAGCCGTGGTCGCAGTCTCTGCGTGGTCGACGGTCGACTCAGTGACGGCACTGATGATTTGCCGTGCGTCAGATTTGATTGCTTCAGCCGAGGCAGCAAGTTCTTCGGGGAGCTGGGTCGGGCTCTTATTGGAAGAAGGTAATGAAGAGAGAGGGGGAGAGAGAAAAGGACTCATGGAATGCCAACGAGCGCAGACCTCATTAATATATATTATATGCGACCATTTTTAAGCTTTTAGAGTGAGTCGCTGGCATCAACTATATCTTTAATGTGTCAAGTTTACTTCCATGTAGTGGCTGGAGTTATCCGAGATTAACTTGGCCGACGTGCCGCGATGAATCACCAATTTTCTTAGCTTTAAACGCGTCATAATTAATACGTGTACTCATAGTATATGACGTGGTTTATTACGGTTTCGGCTCAGGTACGGCTAAGCATATGGTATTGCTTTTACCGGGCCTTGATTAATGCAATGCTTATACGATTATAATAATAGGTTTTTTTTTAAAAAAAAAAAACTTAATAAAATAATTGCCAATGCTCAGAAACGACAGAGCAAGAACGGCACTCTCTGCTTTTGAGAAACGAGTCGACGAGCAAACAAAGAACTAAATCGCATATCCAGACGACCATATTATAAACACAGTGTAACTCCATTCATCTTGGGCAGAAGATGATACATGTTCGCCCAAACGACAGCCACCTTTTCCCACTCGAGCGTTGAACAACAGCAGCTCGACAAGCATCTCATCCCTGGAATAACCTGTCATCGTAATGCATGAGAGACGCATCGCGACTCCTCTCCGTAACAAACCAAGTTTGGCCTGTCACAACCATCCTCCACCGCGGCCAGGACACAGAGATTGGTGAGATTCGTTCCCGAGCCGGGGGAGTACCCAAGTTCAGCACCATTGTCATACGCTCTATGATTCCCGCCTGGATCCACGAACCTCACCCGTTGGCAGGAGACTTGGTTGTGAGCAGAAGCTGATGATTTGTCTTTGCAATCTTACTTTCTTGAGCAGAATTTGGGTTACAAACAGCCCGGCAGGCTGGTCGTGGCAATGTAGCCGAGACAAAGGGGAGACGTGGACCTTGTACCACAGCCAAGTTCAGGAGAAGAACAAAGTGTATTCTACGGTTCTAAGCCGCCATTCCGGCCATGTTCACCGGGATGCTGGGCATTCACTGCTCTTGCACGGCGAGTTTGGAACCGAACAGTTTGGCGTCGGAACTCAGTGTGGCACTTTGGAAAGGCGTTGTTCACTTTGGCGCATGGCGGTTGTTTGTGTGTTTTGTTGATACTGGATAGCACTTTATGCTATGTGATCCGAATCCCGGATACAAATTCTCATTAGGGAAACCGTACTAGGGTTGCTGGCCAGTTGCCTAGTTGGATGAAAACCCTATTCGAATTCGAGCTTGTTGTGTCTTGACAGAGGCAACTCATTCGCGTGGGTTGTCTATGAGACGAAAGCCCGTGTTGACCGCTTCCTTAGGCCAATTCAATCCCATCATCATCCTCATCGTCGTCATCATTACCCTTATGGTCCTTGTGGTCCTTATCACCCTTATTGTCCTTTTCGTGCTCGACATGCGTGGCATTCCAGTAACCCTTAACATACTTCCGATAATCGATACGCTCGCAATCCTCAGCACCCCCGCCATCCTCTTTCTCCTCGTCATTACCTCCATATATGCAACAATAGAAATGGCAAAACAGGGGATTCGTAGGACCCTTATCATCTTTTCCTTCCTCCTCGTCGGGGGGATAGATGCTCTTCATTAGTTCAGACGGGGGATTCTTCTCGTAACTGTCGCACACTTCACTACCACGTTTTCCCTTAGTACAATCTACATAGTTTTGCTTTCGCATTCGGTCTTCGGCCTTGGCCCTGGCTGGGGCGTCTTTGCAGTCGAACGTCACAGTTCTTGTGCCCGGTGGTTGACATCGCCACTGGTGCTCGGAAGGCTGAGGTGTGTCCATCTTCAAAGAGGGAGTGGATGGCTCAGCTCCTTAGTTGTTTTGATTTTTTCAGATTTCGAGGATAGTGGTTGAGAAGTATTTGCAAATGACCGTGTGAGAAGTTGATGAGTATGGAAGCAGAAGGAGGGAGCCTTGCCGCGCAACAGTCAGAGTTTATACAGTTTTGCGAGGGGGACGGCGGAACCTGTGTTCTGGACTCATTCGCGTTGGATTTCCGAAGAGGTATGAGTCCAGGCATGTGTTTGACTTGAGTTCAGTCCCAGAGTCGATGTTGCGTTGGCAGAATAGTTGCCATGTGGAAGCGTGTGAATATATCCCAAGCGTAATGAAATTAACAGAAAGGAGTTGTCTGTGGGGACGTGAAAACAGATGAGCGATGGCGGCAGAAAATACCATTTCGAGCTGTCAAGTATCTAAGGTGTTCACGGGCTGTATCAATGGGCGTGGAGAGGGATCAACACTGTTATTAGGTATGATGAAGGAACAAAAATGCGACAACGACTGAAAAAAAGCAGCACGACACAGGCACACGTAAAACCAATGTCCACAAATCCATCAGCACACGGCGTGACTCTTGCCAGTCTTGCCCTGAAGCGAGTGACGTTCATTCTAAGCGCCATCAGCATCAGATTTCACATCCATCGTCTACCCAAGAGCGCAACATACCTTGAAAACCGCCTTGGCCACACCCATAGGATCCCTGATCTTCCCCGAGCCGCTGGTATGCCGTCCCACGTGCTCCTTCAGCCTCTCGATGAACTGCTCGCTGTCCTGCTCCAGAAGCCGACTGCACAGTTTGATATCCTTGATCAGCAATTCACACCTGCTCCTTGAGAAATCCTCCCTCACAACGATTCTCATCATCTTCATTTGCCCCGTCTCGGGGGCCATTGTGTACGCCGGGATGACCCAGCCCCTGGAGCGTAGGTAGTGCGCCAAGGCGAACTCATCAAAATTCTTTTCTTCCGTCTCCCCCTCGTCTTTGCCGGCGAAGCGGAAGGCCACGAGCGGCAAGCCCTTACCTTGTCCTTCGGACATTATGACGAATCCAAGCTCACGGAGCGCGTCGGTGAGGTAGTCCGCCGTCTTGGTGAGGTTACACATGATGTGGCGGTAGCCGGCTTTGCCGAGTCGGATGAGTTGGTAGTATTGCCCAATGACTTGGGACGCTCCCTTGGAGAAGTTGAGCGTGAAGGAAGATTGCTCGGCGCCGAGGTAGTTGATGTTGAAAATCAGGTCTTTGGGGAGGTATTCGGGCGAGCGCCAGACCACCCAGCCTACGCCGGGGTATACGAGACCATACTGGGATATAAGAGTCAGAATTGGTGTTTTTGGCAAAAGGGTACCGAGGAGGGAATAAGAGGAGGGTTAGCTCACCTTGTGTCCAGAAACATTAATAGAAACAACACGTTCAACTCTAAAATCCCATTCAAGATCCGGAACCACAAATGGCGCCACAAACCCGCCGCTCGCGGCATCAACATGAATCGGCACATCAGACTTCTCCTCCACCAGCAGGTCGCTGATGGCCTTGACGTCCTCATACGCACCGGTGTAAGTAGTCCCCAGAATTGCCACAATACCAATGGTATTCTCGTCACAAAGCTCGACCGCCTCCTTGGGGTCAATCACGAACCTGGTCCTCGTACAATTCACATACTTCTCCTCAATCTCAAAGTAGCGCGCCGCCTTTTCCCAGCACACCTGCACGGCAGAGGACATGACGATGTTGGGGTTATCAGCGGGCTTACCTTGCTGCTGACGCTGCTGCTTCCAGCGACGCTTCATGGCCAGAACGGCGAGCATAATGGCCTCGGAGGAGCCGACGCTTGATGTGCCGATTGCGGTGTCCTTGGGCGCGTGGAAGAGGTTGGCGATCATGTTGGCGCAGCGGTGATGGATTTCTGCCGTCTGCGGGTATTCTTCGAAGTCGATGAAGTTCTTGGGCATGGCTTCTAGCATGAGATCTTCTGCTTCTTTTTCCTGCGGGGGAGGAGAGTCGTTGTTAGTCGGCGGGTTTGCTGTTGCGGGTTTGGTGGCTTTACCATGTAAGTTGATACGAAGGAAGCAAGGCTGTCGTAGAAAGTCGAGTTAGTTTCCGTCATCGGGTTTATGAATGGAATCGCGTAGGTGATTTTTCAATCGGCAGTTGGGCGGTGTACACTTACTTGAGCTTCGGATTGTTGTCTAGACTGAGCTCGTCCTTGATCATGCGGTACGCAACCTCTGGCGGCATCGAATCATCAGGTATATCGTCGCATGGCATGTCCTGCGTAGCATAGTGCGATCCGTACACGTTGGTAAAGTCCTCCTGGGGCTCTACGGCGTTGAGACGGCGGCGCTTCATTCCCCGTTTCACAGCTGGTGCCATTATGAAGTTGATTCGCGTAGAAGCTCACGGTGATGTTGGGGTGGTGGCAGTTTTTCTCTCAGGAAATCAACAACTGACTAGAAAAAGCTTCGTTTGAAGCAATTGTGTGAAGAAAGGGCTTTAGGTCGAAGGATGCGCATCCTCTATACGAAGCATGTTAACCTTCAATGCTATCGGCTGTGTCGGAACCGCCAGCTCAATTCTGGCCAGCTCCCAGGGCTCGCATAGCTGGAAACAGGTTCGATTTTGATGCGGGATGACGCATTTATTGGTACGTTTGTGAGCTGATTGCTCGGCGATGCGTGGCGTGGTGCCAGAAGAATGATAACATTAAATGCTAGCGGCTGTGTCGGAACCGCCAGCTCAATTCTGGCCAGCTCCCAGGGCTCGCATAGCTGGAAACAGGTTCGATTTTGATGCGGGATGACGCATTTATTGGTACGTTTGTGAGCTGATTGCTCGGCGATGCGTGGCGTGGTGCCAGCCATGCAAATAGAGTTTCATCGTGTCAACGGCAATGGCCTAGTTCTGGCAAGTGACCCCGCGTGGAAGAGCCACAAATCCGATGGAGAAAGTAACCGTGCGGTTCAAACGACCTTATTGAAGCGGTTGTGCTGGTTGGTCACTTGGCGATGTACTCCGTAGGGTGGTTGAAGTAATGCGTCCTGCGATAATTGGAGGATGGCATCTCAAAGCTTCCCGGAATCAGAAAGCCCTAGCTTTACCGGAGCTCGATAGAAGTGTGTACTTGAGTCTTTGACCAAGCCACCAGGTTTCTTGTTGTGTGAATGATGGGCTCTTGTTGTATATCACTGGTTAAAGTTGATAACTATAGCAGTGTCAGTACCTGCAAATAGGTTATTGACCTCTCCATTGAGGCCCTGTATTTTGCCATGAGAGACTGGCTAAGAATAACGATGGGCAAAGCCAGGCCGTCCTTGCACCGAGTTTCATCAAATACATGGGGTCGCTTTGATGGAAAAATAGGACCTGGATGGCCATTCTTCCGCACGAGTACCAAGATTGGCTGCGTGTGAGGAGTTTAGTCGAGAGCGTTTGTTTGTAACTGCAACTTCCCAGTCGGATGCAGTCTCTGATCGCAAAAAGCAACACAACTATAGATGTAGAACAAAGGTAAGCATTCATTTGGTATCTCAAATGTAGGTAAGTAAATAGATGAAAACGAACCCGTCGTGTCTGGCAAACAACCCAGGCCCCCCCACCTCTTCCTCCCCGCAACTCCAACGTCACATCGACTAGTATTATAACTTTGTCCCAACCAGCCAAAAAAAAAAAAAAAAAGTGAGACAATATGGAAAATGAAAATTCAATCGTTCAGATATACATGTAGCACTTTTGGTTTCCATTCGGAAAGAGAACTTAGTTCTTGGCGTCAGGCTGCGTGACAGGCTGCTGTTGTTGCTGGACCTGTGGCTGAAGCACATGCATGGGATACTGCTCCTGGTGCTGTTGTGGAGGCTGCTGCTGCTGCTGCTGCTGGGGATATGGCTGCTGGTAGCTCTGGATAGGCACCTGGCCCTGCTGCTGCTGGGCATTCATGGGAGCCTGGTTGTTGCTGTACTGGGAGTAGACGGGCATGGTGGGACCGAAAACCTCGATTGGACCATCGTATCGGCCGATAGCAACCATGTTTTTGCACTGGGAGCAGCGGTACTGGGTGTCTTCGAACCAGCCGGCGAGGCAGGGCACGCAGGTGAGGCAAATACAGAAGAGGCATAGGAGGGCACCGACAATGCTGTGTGAGAGAATGGCATTAGCAGCTTGGTAGGACAAGGCTGGTACTGGTAGATGGAACGCGCAACATACATTTGCATAGAAGTGCCTTCTCGCTGCACGGTAGTCGTCGTTCGCTGGTGGCAGAAAGGACAATCAATCCACTGCGGCTGGTCGCTCAGCTGATTCAAAGGAATGACGGTCATGGGAGGAGCGCCGGCCATGTTCCCTGGCTGGGGCGGCTGGCTCGCGGGCGCACTCTTTGCCTGGTTTGCCTGATCGTAGCTTGGAGGCAGACCGTGTCCGGTATTCGGCTGCTGAGCGGGCTGGATGTTGTCGTTGGCGGCGGGATGGTAGGCTTGCTGTGGTTGCGCGGGAGCAACATTGGCCTGCTGCTGTTGTTGTTGCTGTGAATCCATCGTGTGTCGAGGCCAAATTGCGTCTCACTTCGATCGACTGGATGGAAGTCGCGTGGATATTGATACAGAGGCGAGAGGACTGCTCGATTGAAGATTTTTTGGGGGATACGCTGCTTTTTCAACCGGTTACACCAGTTGGCCTTGCTCGAAGTGACTCGTGAGAAAGGGAAGGAGGCAGACTGTGGATCAATGTCAGCTGCCAAAGGGGCGACTGCAATCGCCAGGCTCAACAACTTAAATTCGACAATGTCCCAGTTTGGTCAGTGCCGGCATCGTGCCCGAGTCTGTGGCTGTTTTCCGTTTCGTCCTTTGTCCTAGCTGCATCGTTGGCCTGCAACGGCGTGGAGCATCCTTGTTCGTGGTGCTCGTGGTGCTATCATTAGACTTGGCGGCTCAGCAAAATACGGGGCGTACTGTAGGGCTGTGCTGTCAAAAGCCTGCCCAGCCCGCGAAACTAAGCCTCCATCAGGAAAGGGCCGACTTAACAGTTGGACGTTGGATCCTGGATCCTGGATCCCAAGACGAGGGATGTGGGGATCATCTTTTTTCTTTGTTTCGATGGGCAGTTGGCAGGGTCGAGTATTTAATGTCGAGATATTCAGCCAGGTCGGTCAGGTCATCCTGAGAGGGGACAAGAAGATTCGCGAATACGGCTTCTGAACCAAACAACCCGAACTTGGTATCGATCTTCTTGCGCAGTTCTTTGAAGACGCTGGCAATGGCACCGATTTCTGATGATGCTGGTAGACCCAACTTCTTGCGAGGATGGCGTGCAGCCCATCGTGGCTGGAGGGATCCTTGGAAGTCTTACGCAAGGTGTTGAGAGGATGCCAAGGAGAGTTTTGCCATGACATTATGGTAATTTTTATCGCAGTGCTGGACAAAACTGTCCGTCCCGGTTCTTCCATCTGGACTGTTAACCACGATGGCGGCAGAACCGTAAGACGACTGCATACCAATGCCAACTGAGAACCGTTTTGAATCGGCGTCACCTTGTTTAAATAAGATGGGTACTTACTCGTGGTTTTGTGCCTAAACTATGGCTGACTTGACGACCGATAGCCAAGCGACAATGATCAACGCCCGTGGAAGAGGCGCATGTTTTCAGCTGGTTTGGCAGCCTTGGACGACTGTAGTTGGGCGATTTCGCTTGATCATGTCTGTCCTCGGTGATGCTAGTAGATTCTGAGACAAACGAAGATCGTCGAAAGCAAGGCAAGCGCCGTGTGAGGATCACCATCGACTTTAGGCCTCAAATAACCTCTTTGGGAATGTTACTCTTCACATCCAAGACCGGCACTGCAAAGAGATGTCAACTCTAGATGGCCCAGGTATCGAAACTGCTGGGCTCACATGTTAAACTCGGCTTCTCTCTTATATTTGTCCTAGGTTTCTAGTTTTACTGCGAATTTGAACTACATGTCTATTAGAGACTGAAATTAACTTGGTTGTATTAAGAATTAAATTATCTACCAAGTGAGAATGAAATACCCTATAAAATATCATATAGAATCACGTGTCTCTTTTACGAGGGGTATTTAATTCTCTCTTTTATAGCTTAGCAAGGCTTTATATGAACATAGAGATTCGTATTGTCTCATACCAGGGTGCTCTGCTTGCATGTGACCTGAGGAACTACTTTTCCCCTTTGCTGATTGATGCGCTATGCAAACGGCAACGCTGGCCGAGTTGAGCCGGCGGCCAGATGAAGCGAGTTTGGCAAATACAATAACAAACCGCTCCGGTGAATCCAAGCAGCAGCGTGGCGCAAGACTTGACTTCAGCCAGTTCAGCCCACGATGACTTGCTTTCGGCAATACTAGGCTGGGCGAAGTACTTCACAGCTTGTTCAATTTGCTATGCCCAACGGGCTTGCAAACTCCATACAACTAGCACCAAGAGTCCGTGACAGTGTGACTTGTGCTCCGTAGTGCTGACGGGATGCAGAATCAATGTGATACCACTAGTTGCGTGGGTGAAGAATGCCTTGTAGACAGGTCAGCAAATTCAACGCATTCGACATACCAAGATATCATGCCACAGAGAGGAGTGAGCAAGGACTATAAAAGGGTGGGTGGAACAAAATAAAAAAGAGTTATATTCTGTATGAGCACCAACTGACATTGTGCTGCCGTGCTCTTGACTAACTCGAATTGCAAACTCGGATATCCATCACCGCTCAGTTTGCAAAACAGTCGGTACCACTATCAGTCTCTCAAGGCCTCCAAACAGAACCCATCTAACATATATTAAGACTACCTGCCTCTCGCAATGCGATACATTGTCCACCATTCTTGACCGTCTTGACTGTCTTCCACAGTACAAAAGCCTAAGCTTGTCCAAATATCTCGAAATCTTTGTCTGCAACATGCAAGGCTCCGTGCTGTTCCTTTTACTCGGCGTCCTCGGCGTTGCAAGTGCCGCTACATTCAAGGACTGCGGTACGTGTCACTAATCGTCTTCCAAATACACGCGTTTCCCGCTATCTGGTATCTAACCGGCATACAATGACAGGAAGCACTGCCAAAGACCTAAACATCAAAATCGCAGGATGCCCCGACGCTGACCCCGTCTGTCGCTTTCCATCGCGCCAGAACGCCTCTATAGAAGCGACCTTTACCACTCCGAGCCCTTTTCAAAACGCAACAATAAAGCTATCTGCCTCGGTAGGTATTATCGACATCGATTTTCCACTGAAGCCTGCCGAGGCATGCGGCCACTGGGGACTGAAATGCCCGGCGGAAGCTGGGTCGCGGCAGACATTGAAAGTCGAAGTCCCTGTAGAGAGTTCCTACCCCAAGATCGGAGTTGAAGTAAAACTGCAGTTGGTTTCTCACAAGGGAGACAAGTTAATTTGCAAGTTGTTTCCGGTGGAGATTCAGTGATGGGGAAGGATTGGATGGAATTGCTGTGTGCGGGAATTCTAGCTAAAATGGTACGCAACTAATTAATTCTGTGAGAAACGAGCATCTTGGAACAATAATCCATCACATCTTGGCTTGTATCCATTTGAGCAAGGACGCTTCATCACTGGTTGTCACGGACCGGAACTTGGACCATTGCCAAGTTCAAGCATGAGATCGTCTCTCGCTTCAAGAACCTGGCCAATACCTTTCTCACAGCAGCATATCCATGTGAATATGGAGGGCCTAGTTTCTGTTCTGCTGTAGACGGCGCTATATTTCAGTAAAACTTGCAGCCAAGCAATTACTCGTTGGTAACCGCCTCATTCACACCGCTCAATGCAATGGGACTTGTCCAACACACCTTCCTCCTCATCCTCGTCCTCCCTCCTCTTTCTTCCCCGCTTTGCCCAATGCTTTTATTACCCTCTCTATCAACTTAACCTCCCATCGCGAACTCTTTGTAGCCGTGAATTTGTTACTACTGACCTCCCGATCTTCTGAATCAAGTTCCATTTCCCGATCATCTCCCGTCCATGTAACGGCTACATCTGAAACCGACACCCAACGAGTCAGTCAATATGCAGACTGATTACGGAAAAAGTAGTTCGGAAGACATGACCACGTTTGAGAACTCTACCAACCTGGGATCCTACTGGTCACTCATTCTCAGTCCAAGCTCGGTTCCAGACTCGCGAGCCAACAGGTCTAAAACATGGGCTGATCACGAGTAACCTGTCGGCATCGCACGAGCCAATCGAATGCGCTTCAAATTTCACCAGTTTACCGGGACGGAGAACGCCCTTTGTCTTCCGCTGGGAAGGGCAGCACAACGACAAACAATCCAATCATACGTACAACCACACGAAATGGGACGCTTTGCTTGACATCACGAAGCAGATCAGTGGAGACCAGACGAGTGCCTACGAAGGAATTTTTCACGCTGGCGGTCGTCACATTGTGCGCCGAATAAAACCTGCAGAGCGAGACGAGTTATGGGTAGCACGAATACCAATTATATCTGATGTATCAGTCTTGGGATTCGACTCTGGCTGGTGGACAAGCGAGAAACAATTTACAATGGAAAGCGAAATTGCAACCGTGAAATTTATTTCCAGTCCACCGATATCCCCGTACCAAGAGTCTGGTGTTTGCATACAGCACGGGCCTAGAAACCCTGTAGGAATGCCTTACCTATTGATGGAATATATCAGAGGCAATATGCTATACGACCTTGGTGGCCTAAACATCCTTTTGGAGGAGCACAGAATCAAGTTGCGCAAGTCGATAGCGTCTACACAGGTGATTCTATTTACCGCGTTGGCTTAATTTGTCCACAGTTGACCTCCCCAGTGTAAAATAGCAAATTGCCCTTTGGACAAGCTTGGGTCTCTGGTATTGAAGTCCAATGGCGACATCGATATTGGCCCGCTCCCAAGCCAATTTGGCTTCAAAGGACCGTTTGATTTCATGACGGATTACTTCTCAGCTTGGGCGGCACACAACGCAGAGTTCAAAAATATATGCCGACTGAAGGATATGCAATTGATTCGGGCTACTGAATCCTTTCCGCAGCGACTAAAACTAATGAGCAACGCGAGAATGATCGCCAAAACCTCCCGGAACTACCCTATTATTCACCCTGATTTTCAAATGCACAATCTCCTGTTAGATGATAGCTACGATATCGTCGGTGTGATAGATTGGGAATTTGCACATACAGCACCTGTTGAGATTTTTGCCGCGCGGATGAACATGTATGCCTCGTTGGATTCTCAAGGAGAAACCATTAACTTGGTTGACGAAGGGAAACAATATATAGCAGATATTGCTGACACTGAGATGAACCTGAACCCATCATGTAGACTTTCGGGAACTTTCGGAAGTATTCTTGGGGAACTCGGTTTGTGCATGCACTTTTATGAAGAGGGAATAGCGCTGTCATTTAATCGAGTGCTAGATCGGGCCGAGAAGCTCTATCTAACGCAGTTGTAGTAAATATCATGTGCTGCCTTTACATTTTCTCTATTGCAAATGTGCTGGCATTCACGCTTAGCATACTCTTTCAACTATGTCCACCGAAGGAAAGGGGATAGATACTAGTAGAATCCTCGTCAACTAAGGCCGAGTATAATCATCATAAAACACACTTATGTCTTATGCCCGAACGTGGCCGCACTTTGGACAAGCGTCTCCTCGTTTGATGCCGGTTTGCTCGCATTTGACATCATTATTGCACTGACCGTAGGGACTAAGAGGCATTATTGACAAGTGGACATGTTGTAACTGAGTTGAAGGGTATGGTAACAAATTGTACGTTTGAGAGGAAGTGATGATACGAGTTATATTCTGTGCGAGAAGAAGTCGCCCTCTCAACCTGTCAAGTGTCAAAGCTCAACCAGGAGGCGTTGGTGACAGCAGGCGGACGAATCTTCGCAGTAGACACGCCTTTGACCTCGCCTGTGTATCAGCTGAACACTTGAGACGGTTGCTGTGATACCGGGTCTCAGTAATCGCAGCAAAGCACAAGCAAACACTACCCGCGTAAAAGTGTCTCTCTGGGCCTGGAATGTTGAAGCTAGCAGATTCAAGTAAATTCAACAACACGGCATAGTTTATATGAGGTAAAGGGGCCACTCGAGCTACCGCCAAGAATGCCTCTTACCCCTCGATATTGGTTCCATGGCAGCTTATACCGATATAGACCTGTTGGTCCTACGCTACGCTGCCTGGTAGAAGAAGCCACAAGCTACGACTCAAACGGCGACATTTGCAACATCATTTACGGCTTTGCCAGGGTAACTAATATGGATATCGCCACTAATATAATTCACCTCTTCATATTATTCGTAAGAATAGCTTCACTTGGATGAGTTATTATTTAAATAGTTGCAAATTCTTTCAGCATCTTATTACATGTAGCTCCATCACGTTTTTGGATATATCATTGACCAAGACCGCAAGGTTTGCTTGCATTGTATAAAACACGTCTCTGTCCGTTTCCCATAAAGAAAAGGACAAAAACGTATCTTCGGCTAGGTGGAGCAGGATGAGTCTCAGGCAGAGAGTATCACTTTTGAGGAGGTCAAGAAAATATTGGCGAGCCCACGGTAACTTGTTGTAATCTAGCGAGCATCCGTGACGGCGGCGGCAAGACCCAAGGTGTTACGAGCACAAGGTATGAATTGTAGACAAAAACAGGCTAATTGGACAACTTCTCGTGCAGACACAGAGTTACACGTCACTCGCCCCTGTTGTTGCGCCCAAAAATCCTCTGCCAGGCAACCTGGAGGGCCATGTCTTGGAACGCAACGTCCTCGTGGTAAGGCTTGGTCGTCCACACACTGCCAGACTTCTCGACCTCATCCCAGGAGTCCTTCTTCTCCCCTCCCCTTTCCCAATCTTCCCGCGCCCCCTGAATGTCGCTGTTGGCGCCGCGCTCGCCCATGCCGATGCCGTCCACATACTGCCACTGCGCCATGATGGGCGGCATCACGCTGTAGGCCACGAGCTCCCCGGCCTCGGCCATGCCCCCGACAATCAAATCCAGCGGGGCGTCGAGGTTCTGGGACGTCTTGACCAGCAGCTTGGCTGCCCCCGTCTGGCTGACTGCGTATGCGGTCGTGCAGACAATGTTCCCTGCTTTCCGGATCACTCTCTGGCGGCCGAGAACCGTGCCGCCAAACTCCTTGCCCGGCGGCACGGCGGGGTCGTCGTAGATCAGGCTGATGTTTCTGTTTGCCTCGGTGTCGTGACAATGCCCGAGACTGAGGATGTCCCAGTGGTCGCTCTGCCACGGATCGTCTGCTGCCTCGGTGCCGCGGATGGATTCGTCCGCGTCGTCTCTCCAGCGGGGATTGTGCAGCCTGGTCGAGTTGATGCTCGCTACAAATTTGCGAAAGTGTTTATTCATGTTGAGCATGATTTTGCGAATGTTGACGTCCCAGGCTGCGTCTGATTCAAGGATGATGACGGGCGGGAGGTTATTCCTCAGCATGGCTGACCAGATCTGCGGAATTATTAACAATTTCTCTTTGACGCATGACTTGTAGCATGATTTCCCCAGCTTACATTTGCGTGCGCTCTCCAAGCTCCCCTCTCGCCTACCTTTACCGAGCCTGGTGATTTACTAGGCGGCATGCCTGCATCGCTCATCATGTCGGGTTCAACGGCGGGCACTTGCTTCACCTCTACGCCAGACAGGAAACATTGTAGCGCGAGGGCGTCGAGGCGATCATAGCGCTTCTTCATGTTGATGAAGTAGATGCCGCTGAAGCCCAAGGTGCTGTTGCCAGCGTCCCGTCTTGACGCTCCAGCTGCCTGGCCAGACGGCCGTCGCTGCTCCTCCAAAGCCGACAAGCTGGCCGACGTGGAATGCCGATGAGCCGGAGCGGGCGACTTGAGCAGGACGAGACCGAGCAATAAAAGCACGGCGGCGGGAGCAAGCGCTCGGAAGACATACTCGGGGCCGACGCGCATCTTGACGACGGATCGGGGCCGCACGACAAGCCGGCCTCAGTCCCCAGGGTGGAAATGCGTGTCAATCAGCAAGCCTCGCTTCTTTCAGAAGGGCAAGACGGCGTTGGTCTCAGCGAAATCCTTTTGCAGCGGCCATTGTCTTGCTTTTGCCGCGAGCGGGTGGTTGGAGAATGGGACAGACAGCGAGCATTGAAAAGTAGAAAGCACATTGCCATGCGAGAGCCCAGCCCAGTTTCTTAAGAGCCAAGCTGCCGGCGCTACGGGCAAAGCGCGATTCAGAACGGCATTTGGCGCAATGCCGCGATTGATGCCGCGGAGCGAAGCATCAATAGCATCAGGGTCGAGCGATGCGGGTCTCGAGATGGGCAGGACCATGGACAAATGGCGCGTCGTATGATGGGCGAAACGCCAGGGGCGGAAGGATTCAAAGGGGAGCTGAAGGATTGTCGGTATGCCATGTTGCCGCGCCCTTGGGGAATGCAAAAGGCAGTCGTCTCGTATTAACGCGCACGTATTACACCGAATACGGGGCTCTTCTATTCACATTAATTCCTGTATTATGCCCAACCCGGCCCTCATGATACGAACGCAGCTCCACACACAATACCTGGCAAAACTCGAAGGCGAACGTGTGCCCTCCCTCTTGTCGCCAAACAGGAACCAACGTGGTAGAGTACTACGTGGCACCGCGTCTGGGCGGGTTGGTAGAACTCGCCGGACACGCAAGCCATGTAAGCGAGAGTTCTATTACTCGTGGGAATACCTATTTGTCCATGCGGCCTCGCCAAAATGTTTCCTATATTGTTGTGGCGCTCTAGCAATGCTGCGGGCACGATATGCGAGCGTCTCATAGCGCGTATCGTATAAATAGAGAAGCAATGCAAATTCAGACCTTGAATGTGTAGCCAGGTGTGAAGCAAGGGCGGTTAAAGCTAACAAGAGGTGATAATTATAAAGAGCATGTAGGGGGAGAGATGTACTTGATTTCCTAATGAAATCTCGTAATATAAGTTATTATTAGATGTATTACGCGGTCTACTACGGTTCTCTAGCTTGGGTACGGCCAGGCATATGATGTTGTTCTCACTGGGCCCTACCTGATGTAGTGCTAGCACGACAAATTTAGATAGATTGAAAAAATATTAAAACGTAATTAATAATTAAATAAAAAGGGTTGTATTGATATATAGGTCCCTGTGCATAACCCCGATAAACTCCCTTGTTAGGTCACTCATGGCTAAACGAACAAGGGTTGGATTGTATTTGCTGCGCCGTTCGTATTACGTACTACTGTTGCGATGCAGTTAGGTAGTTGACGACAGGCTAACCCCATTAGGTTTTCCTATCATATGTCAAGGGTTCTACCCGCCGGGGTCTTGACTCGGTGCATCGAAGAGCAAATAATATACGGAATTATACGCGGTGATATCGACCGTCAATTCCGAAGGCTGGTACGAAGTCATTCCACAAGGAATCGCATCAGGCACAACGGCAATGTTTGCCGAGGGAGAAGTATCGAGCACGGAAGGCATGGAGTTTGCAAACTAGAAACTTGACGATGCAAAGCAAAGGTCGTGTGTGCACTTTCACACACATCACGAATGCGTCGACGCTAAAAGTTGGCGCATTCTGTTGCCAAAAGGAGGTTGAGAGTCGGTTAGACCAGCTCTACGGGTTGTCGCGAGATTCTTATTCACTCTTGCTGGGAGTTCTGTCGCATGCTTAGTAGGAAAAGTCGACTGGCCTCTGTGGATTATGCTGCAGAGAGGATACCTTGTTTTTGGGAAACGAAGACTTGATATATATGCCAAGACGGGGATATAAAGACTTGTCAAGACGCTTGGATACGACTACAAATCCAAAGAAATAGGGGAACAGAGGAGAAACAAGGCTTCCATCCACTATCCATTGGCTATCTATACACGACGTCAACGGAGCGCATCGTCCCAAAGAAACAACCCGTCCATGTTCCTTACCAACAAGCAAACATTCAGTCCTATCCGCCAAGATTCTTGCCCCCGCGGGCCTCACAGAACTGAACCCTCTTGCCCTTATAGAAACAAGCAACAGCAACATGTCTACTTTGAGAGTCATCATCATTGGGCATCGTCACTGACTCGCACAACAGCTTGCGGAAGCCCAACCGAGCCCCCAAGCTTATATATGCACCGAATGCCACACAAGTAGCTGAGTGCCTGGCAAGGCTTGAAAACTGCAGTCGTTCAATGTTGGGCCGACGGTGATAAAAGACCGCAGGATGGTGGCACGTCTGACGTCTGGAACAGTCTGGACGAATTTGGAAGGTGCGACTGTCAAGTTGCTCAAGAGCCGAATGCCACCCCGCAAATTGCAGGCCCTCAGTCGAGATGCCAACATGCGTGTTGGTGCAACGAGAAATAAGACGTGAGACGTGAGACATGGCATGGATCCCAACGTGGGCATGCAGTGTTACACCACTTGCTGCGCGGCGCAGACCGACGTTTCTGCTGGTTGGGCACACGGTACGGAGCATGTAAATAAAGAACATATATATATTCATCTTGTGTCCTGGCCACGGCACTCGACGGCAGGGTCAAGTATCTCTGGGGAAAAAACACCATGTCAGCACTGGATGATGTACCATCTCAACACAGATCAAAAAAAAGAAAAAGAAAAAGGCCACCCACAAGTCTTCATAAAGGTGCCATGCAACACGTCCATCAAGCCAATGGACCCGAAATTCTTCCTGCCCTGGACGTGATGGCTCTCGTGGCTCATGACGCCCGCCACCTCGCCCAGCTCGTGGAAATACAGGCCGGCCAGCTCGGCCACGACGCCCAGCAGCAGCATGGTCGGGAAGTGCGTGCGCGTCAGGGCGACGGCGCCCATAAAGGCCCCGAAGCCAACCATGAGAAACTCGACCGGGTGGACGTAAAAGGCGCCGAGGCAGACCTTGTCGGCCATGCGGTGGTGCATGGCGTGTACGGGGCGGTAAAAGAGGCGCGTGTGCATCAGCCGGTGGATGTAGTAGAACAGGACCTCGAAGACGAGCAGCGACGCAAACACCTCGACGACGAAGCCGCCCGCCGTCGGGAACCCCGTCACGGATATGCTCCTGCGGTAGTCCGGGGACAGCGCTCGCAGGCACGCGACGTGGACGACAAACGTGGCCGTCAGGTTCACCACGGCCCAGGGCACAAACTTTCTTATTCCCGGCCGAGACGCCGCATGGCCGACGTAACGGTTCAGCGAGTACGCGAGCGCGATGAAACTCTGCACCGCGAAGCTGGCGTACGCCTCCCTCAGTCCGGCAGGGCAGCGGTGCCAGAACGCGACCAGCGGTCCGATCATGGTACTGGGCTGGCGGGTATCACGGAAATAGAACACGGCGAGGGGGATGAGCTGGATGGTCGCTTTCATGGCAATGGGAGCCGCTGCTGTTCAAGGGGGGGGAGCGGGAGGGAAACGCCCAGGTATATACTTGCTCGAGTACTATTATATGCTCCATACTCCTCCCACTCACGGCATACTTCTTCCTCTGCGTGATTCACAGATGCAAAGTTACCTTGGTGCGCCGTCTGTCCGCTCAGGCTCAGGTGTGACGACGATCTTGGCGCAGAAAGGGCCGAAAAAAACGAGACAACACAACAATAAGCACTCAATTGAGCCCCGTAACACTCGCAATATGGACCGTATTGCTCCGTGGGTTGGGGACACTGCGGCAGCAAGTCGGAACATCTAACCCAAGTTTAGCATCATACATGCGACGATGGGCCAAGATGAGGTACCATCATCTATGAGTACTTCCCGAAGCGGCTAGCTTCCCGCGGTTCGATTCCCAATGCTCTCAGGTGCTCCGTACCGACGCCTGATTCCGAAGCCCCATCCCGGACGCTGTTGGCGCCAGATATCATCCGTTGCGCCTCCATCAGTCCCCGACTCCCGCCTCCCCGCCGCCTCTTCCCGGCGTAGCTTCTGCGGCCTTTGTGGAATTCTCTATTGTCTCGTTTGGGAGCTGGCTGGTCGCATCCCAGATTGGCCTCTGGAATGCCTCCCGTCTGGCGCATAGACCCCCACAGTCCTTTGATTACCGCACAGACAGTCGTCTTGACCGGCCCGTCGTGTGTGTCCCTTCACCTTGGCTCAAGTCCTGCAGGAGATAAGTGACTGTTATCTTTTTTTTGTTATTGTCTACTAGTATTGTTATTTTTTCAGAGGCCACGGCTCTATTCAAGCAGATCTACCTACAATGGTGGTCCGGGTGTCGGCTGAGATACATCAATCATCTGACCGATGCAGACAATAGACGTCACCTGGTGTGTCTTTCCGCCCAGATCAATACTTGTTCCTGCCCCGTTTCCGACAGAGAGCCTTGGGCTTTTCTATTCATGCGGCCCCACTGGTTACTTCGTGCTCGACATACAATACGACGCGACGTCTTCCACCTTGACTCGGAAATCTCACCAGAATCATCTGTTGCTCGAGAGAACCAGCGAGGAGATCCTCCGCTGTCACCTTTAAACACCCTGACGTCACATGATGATTCACCGGTCTCGATCTAACTACCTGTGGGTGAATAAGGACCGACCAATCATCTTTTACTAGTCCATCGCCCGATTTGGATAGAGGTCGAGCATTTACTGGTGATAGTACCCAGTACCACGTGTCTTTGGACAAAGAACCTACGTACCCAACTCAATGCTCAACTGGCCAGCGACGTCGTCTTTTTTACCAGAATCGACCCAAGTCCTGTAGCCCAGGGGCCTAGAAAAGTTGGATGGCAGGTTCTAGCTGTACTTGGCCTGCTAGGCTACCAGACTGACATTGAAAAATAAAATAATCTCGGCTTGCAACGCATGCTCTAGTTCCACCGTCACAGCTCCCATCTGCTCAGAGAAATACTCGATAGAGGTCCAGCCCAGCTATTTCTCCTCGCTTACAGATAGGGAGAAACTCGACGGGCCTCGCGTGCTGCCGGTCCATAAGTTGCCAGCCAGGAGGACGGTCACCTCGTGACAGCTACGGGAACAAGGCTAAATTCTAATATAGTGCTCATGGGATACAGAACTGCTCTTTCAACCGTATCTTGTCCCATTATCAGGTAGGGCAATTTTGCGGGCCGCTGGCAAGTTGAAATATTTCCCCTCTTCCACAAAATCTCAAGCTGTATTTTCTCTTTTCTGGCTGCAAAAGCTAGCTGATCTGGTGAGCTCCTCATAAACTCTTCCGAACGGGGGCCGACGTCTCGACGCCAAAAGACGACAAAGTTCTCTTCCAAATTTCTCTGCAACGTCATCAGCAGCTTGTAGAAAAAAAGTCCCAGAAGACGTTGACAGATAATTCGGGACACGCAAACGCGTTGACAGTATGACAGCGGTTCTGCATTTCTGCCCATTCTCTGGGCAGCATAGGAGGTCCACTTCACGCTGTCTGATGGCGCTGAGGAGGCGGCCGACTTCCTGACTATAGGCCTTTTTCTAATGAGCACAAAATCAGCACTGATCCCCAAAGGACTTGACTCCATTCCCAGACGACCAGAACCATGGTTAAATCGTCATCAAAGAGAGGGTTAGCAATAACAGCTGCCATATTCCCATGCATGAGAACGAAGGAACCCTCGTTGGGCGTCTTTTGAAGCCACTCCTTGACATACTTTTTGAAGTGATGTGATGCGTAGAGAATCTTTGAAAGGCCTTGTCTATCTAGCTCTTCGCCCGGTTCTTTGTCGACTTCCTGAAGCGCGCTAGCAATTCCAAATGTCTCGTACTCCTCAATGAGCGCGCCAGGGTCAAGTCCATTGATTTCTTAAAGTTACCATCTCATAGGGCGGATGATTGCGAACTTCGATGCTGGCCGGGTCACAGCTCGACAAGGATACGTCCCTAGACGGAAGACCTGAGTGCGCCAATTCTGCGAAACTCGAGTTGCCAGAGCTGGATATGTACGTCTGCAAGCTGCCGTGCAGTTTCATAGTAGCCTCTGTAAGTCTGTCGGGAATCTACCACCGGGTGTCCGTCTTCCGGAAGCCAAACTCGTCGAGATTTTGGCTGGAACTCGCCACATCGCGGCCAGCTCGGCGTCCATGTTCTCGTCAATCCATGGGACAAGCAAAGGTATTGGGATTTGGAGAGCCCATCTATCCGAGTTTTCGAACTGAACAAAGAACAATATATTGAATAAACCGCACATTGATGGCCGGAAATACTGCACGCGTCGCCATGGTGTCAAGATGAGGCCAGGCGACAAATGGCTTCACTGTCAATCGACTGGGTAGAGTAAGGCGCTTCTTGCGAACTTTATCTTCTGCGATGGCGTTCTTCATTGGGCAGGTCTAAGGAAGTTGTCGCGTTGTAGCCAGCCGACAATACCTGAGGTATTTTGGCCCGCAGAGTGAGTGCCTGCTTCGGTATCGCCAATGTGGACATTTTATTCTTGGTCTCAGTTTTCATGTTGCAACAAATGCTCACTCTGCAATGAGAACCCCGCCGCCCTAGGTAGGCACCTACCTAGGTACTTAAGGTCAAGTGGGACCAGCTTCAATGTTGCCATCAATTTTGGCCCCAACACTGGCATTCAGCCCAACACGAGTCTGGTCAAGATTTTCAAGCCAACCAGCTACCTAGTACCGGTACACAATGCCGAATCCCATCATCTTCATTCAAGTAACACTGCCGAGTGCCCTAACCGATTGATCAAACTTTGCGTTCAACATTGTTCAACTGGCTCCAGTCTGTAGGGAGGAAAATGGGCAACAAGATCAACGCGTCGCAGTTCTACTTTGAATACAAGGGGCATGCCATCTTGGACATCAGCGCCTTCCACAGCATAACCATCTCGCAACGACCGACAAAGCCTATCGTATATCTGGCGGGCGATTCGTCACTCGACAACAAGTTCTGGCTCCCATCCAGCTCCCCTGGCGGCGAGCGTCTGACCGTAGCAGTTCCAGAAATATACAAAGCCGCTCTCAAGCCGCCTCGTCCAAAGCCTGATGTTGCCTTCTGGCTCAATCACTACCTGGGCAGCCGAGCCACGGCGCTCAATCTCGCTGTTGAAGCCTCCCTGCTGCGGGAGCGAAACAGCGACCTCCTGGCGCATGACGAGTTCATCAGAGATCACATCCGTGCCGAAGACCTGCTCGTCGTGTCAGTGGGCGCCAACGACATCGCCATGAGGCCGAACCTGTCCACCATATGCCACATGCTGCTGCTCGCGTGGCTGACGTCGACGTCTCGGATCCAGAGCGGGGCAGCCTTGCCTCTTCGCTACTTTGTCAACATGTTCAAGACGCAGGTTGAGAAGTATGTGGTCAAGCTGGTTGAAAAGCACAAGCCCCGGGCCGTGGTAGTTTGCATGATTTACTTCCCGCTCGAGGCACAGGCTGCGAAGCAGGATAGCTGGGCAGACGCCTCTCTCGGGGCTCTAGGCTACAACCGATGGCCCCATCGGCTCCAGGCGGCCATCACCAAGATGTATGAGCTCGCGACGCAGAAGGTCCAGATCCCTGGGCTTTCTGTGATCCCAGTAGCCTTATTTGAGACCCTGGATGGGAAACGTGGCGGAGACTATGTCCAGAGGGTGGAACCGAGTGTGGAGGGCGGCCGGAAGATGGCATCTCAACTCGTTGCCGTGATCAACCCGTTGCTTGGAACAGTCGAGTAAAGAGGCAAGAGCTGTGCACTACGTACCCGAGTGTAGTCTTGATCACGGCAACATCTCCAAGAGGCGACAAGAGACACTCCTTCATATATTTTGTTCCACGTCTGCAACTCCCGAGGGGATGAGGAAACGAGCATGAGAAGCCAAGCGAGCCAGCCAAGCGAGCCGGCCGCCATCTTTGCGCTGCCTTCTCTGCCATGTTCACAACCCTGTGTTTGCATGTGACCTGGGCTAAAGCCAGCAAAGCTTTCGATTTGAAGGTGGCCCGAGTCAGTGTGAGAGAGGAAGCCAATTTGTCTCCCGACTCCATGCCCTTATGTAAAAGCAAGCCGGATAACACTCGACCCCGCTGTTTGGCGGTGGTAGGACTCTATCCCGATTTAAAACTAGCTGAACAGTCTGTATGGCTGAGGGAAGGAAAGATAGAGTTTTTTTGTGGGTTCAAATCTTGATAGTCCTCCAGCTGTTATCGATGATCAACGCCGGAACCCTACCCATCTCCACATCCCCAGACAAGAACATGCGACGGCCGTATCGCACCTCCTGAGTCCTGACTCCTGAGTGCCGGAAGGCTGTTGGTACCTTGCCAGATTATTGGTATGATTACTAGGTATGATAAGCTAATATTGAATTTATACGTAATTTGATGTACTGAACATCTCTTCTTGTCTAATTGGTTACTAGCCCCGGTTGTGGAGGCGCCAGCAGCCCTCGAGCACTCCAAGAGATGTCTGGTGCAAGTATGTCGATATGACCATGGTTGTATGGCGGGAGTTGATAGGGAGAGATGTTTGATTGCTAGATAGTTATAAGAACTGCGCATTTTCCGTGGCTACACCTCCTGAGACCCTGAGTGCCAAGTAAATGTTAAGCGCAAGGTTATGAAAAAAGAACAGCTGGCTGTTGCTCGATTTACACAAGGCACCATGGGTATCTGGGAGTCCATCGTGTCGCCAACGCCGTCACTCGACGTGCCAGGCCTTGAGTCTGTCGACATCTCGGACAAGGCAATGGAGCGTCGCATCGTCCGAAAACAAGATTTTCGGATTCTGCCGTGGGTGTGTCTCACATATCTCTTGAGTACATCCATTCCATCCCCGCCCGTCATGTTGCTCCATGCATGGCCACAAACTCACCAGAATGCAAAGACTACTTGGACAGAGTCAACCTGGGCAATGCCCGAACCCTCAACAATGACACCCCAGAAGACAACATGGTTGTGCAGCTCAACCTCACGGGTCAGCGGTACAATGTTGCCGTGGCCCTCTTTTTCGTTCCATACGTCTTAATGGAGTTTCCTTCCAATATCTTGTTAAAGTACTTCTCCCCCAGCCGCTGGATAGCCCGCATCATGGTCAGCTGGGGCGTCATCACCATTTGCACGGCCGCCGTCACAACCTACGGCGGCCTTCTTGCCGTACGCATGGTCTTGGGTCTTGCCGAGGCGGGATTCTTCCCCGGTATGATGATGTACTTGTGTTTCTGGTACAAGCCCGAGGAGCGGGCAACCCGAATGGCCATATTTGCGACTTCAGTTTCGGTTGCAGGCGCCTTTGGGGGCTTACTCGCCACGGGCATTTCATTTCTCAACAAAAAGGCCGGACTGTCTGGCTGGCAGTGGCTTTTCATCCTCGAAGGAATCCCGGCTGTACTAGTCGGGGTCATGGTGTGGTTTTGCCTCCCGGACTATCCTCAGACGTCTTCGTGGCTGACACCTGAAGAACGAGCATTTGCTGTGAAACGTCTGGGGCCGTATGCGCCGTCCATGAAGGACAAGCATTGGGACAGTGATGTTGCAAGGAAAACCCTGGTTGATCCTTGGTTTTGGCTCTTCGCGGCACAATACTTTCTCATGACAAACTCCCTGAATGCATTTGGTTATTTTGCCCCGACGATTGTCGCAGCACTGGGATACAAGGGTTACGAAGCCCAGTTGTTGACGGTGCCGCCAAACGTAGTGGCCATGGTGATTGTTATCGGTACATGTCTTCACAGTGACAAGACTAAAGAGCGGCCGCGACACATTCTTGGCGCTTTGGGGTTCCTGGCGACGGGGTATTTGCTGCTTGCTGTCGTCTCGCAGCGAGGGGTTCGGTATTTTGCAGTTTGTATTATTGCTTGCACAAATGCGGCTGTCCTACCATTTGTGGCGGTAAGTTCCATCTTCTGACTCAGCGGATATAGAGAAAGCCAGTCCTGCGAGACTCTGGGAAACTAATGGCATGCGCTGAATAGTACCGAACGGCGACGGTGCAAGGCTCAACAGCAACTGCGCTTGCGACTGGCGGAATGATTGCTATCGCCAACTGTGGGGGAATATCGGCGCCGTTCCTTTTCCCCAGCAGCGACTCCCCCATGTACAGCAAGGGAAACTGGACCATTTTCGGATTTCTCATGGCCGCGGCTCTCTTGACCATCTATATGTGGTATAAACTGGGATCTCATGCTGCATATAGGACCGGTGAAACAGATGGTGGAGGCAACTTGGAGGTCTTGGATGCCACGCCGTATAATGTCAACGACCGTATGAACAAGGCATTTGGAATTTCCAAGCTAACCGACGTGGATAACTAGAGATCGATTTGTACTTGTTTGCCTGACTGGACTGATTCGACGGAGAGGATTGGTCTTTCTTTGCTGGACACAAAGCTCCTGTTATTACGCGGTCAAGTGTCTGTTTAACACGCTCATTTTGAGTCATGGGATGAGAAGAATAGTACGCATCATATCATACTCACGGAGAAAAAAAGACTACTTGTAGCCAAAGACTGGGTTGCTGATCGACAGCACAGTCGAGTGGGATGCATGTGGCAATCACCAAGTAGGCGCTAGAGTATAACAGTATAAATAAGTACATTGCATCATATTTCGGCACCGTTTCGACCAAATATTTGATATTTACTTTCTGCTATACGTAATTAACGAGTCTGTGTGGAAGATGGAGAGCATGATGACTTGCGGATGACTTGGGAGCATGGATCCAAATTGATATAGCATGATGTTTTCCCTTTCTTTTCTGGGAGCCCGTAAACAGATATCATTCAGCATTGGCAGATCTGAGACTACGGCGGACAAGCATGAGAACTTTGCTTTGATGGAGGAGAGAAATCTAATGCGAGGCGCAAGTATGTGCTGTGGGTTTGGAGGATGCTGGAACACATGAGACTTTATTCGTTGGGCGACGAGTGGAGGACCCACTGCTTGGGAAAGAGCTTCACACGTCAGTTTTTCGACCTCAAACCTTCAAACAAAGCTTCTCCAACAGTTTCCACGCAGCAAAGCAAATAATACTCTTCCAAGTAAAACCCTCTCATAGCCGTCGTCATTATCTGGGATCGGAGGCGAATTTCGGTCCTCTAAATCAGGCGTAGCGCGGACCAGACGCTCGCAAAATGCCAAAGGAAAAGAGCTACAACCCTGTGCAGGCTCAGCGGAAAGCTGAAAAGGCCAAGGCAATCAAAAAGGGTATGCGTTACGATTATTATTGCCATTCTATAATTCATTTTAACCATTTTTCATAGGCAAGGCAGAAGCTCAAGACAGACGCAACGAGAGATTGGCGCGCAAGAACCCGGACCGAATCCAAAAGCAGATCGATGATTTGAAGGCCATTTCTGCGGGCGGCGGCAAGCTATCACGACATGAAGAACAGTTTTTAGAGGGGCTCGAGAAGGAAATCAAGGGGGTAAGGAAAGCGAGAGAGACCCTAGGCGATAGAGCACCTTCATTTCACCGCGGTGGCCGACGAGATGGGGACTCGGGTGTCTTGGGGAAAAGACGGCGCAACTCTGCAGGCTCGAGCACTGATGAGGACGTGCCAGAGGAAGTGCGCAGGATTCCTATGCCAAGAGACACACCGCCCCCGATTCCAAAGGAAGTCCTAGACCAGTGGTACGCGAGACGGCGAGCACGACGAAACCCAAATGCCGATGCGATGCGTGAAGATATGGCAAAGAAAGAAGAGACTCCAAAGACGGAAGCACCCCCCGTCGAATCCCAGACTGTGTACGAAGCGAAACCTGTTATGCGAGATCTTCGGCGAGAAGCTGTTTCTGCTTTCGTACCAGCCGCTGTGCAGAGGAAGCTGAACAAGAGTCGAGGTCAGGACAGGTTGACGGAGTCTGAAGAGGCAGACCGATTGGGGAAGGAAGGGAATTCAAACCCAACAAAAGAAGCAGCTGAGGCGGCTGAAGATACACAACAGAAATCTTTGACTGTGACTGTGGAGGACATTGAAGACAAGGACGAGTAACTGGGACTACTAGTGCAAGGCTTCTGCAGCGCCGTTTGCTTTATCCACATGATCGGTGTTATGGACAAGTCGACCTTCATGCCCACCAGATAGCCCGGGAGCGGCGGTCTGCGGCTGACTCTGCATCTGCAGTCTGGGTTAATTTTCATCGTAGGGGTGCGTTCCTGACAACATTTCAGTGGTTACTGCAAAAACCTCGTGAGGCTTTGGCACGAAATTCCCCCGTCGCGAAGCAATTCGGACAAACGTCACAATTCAAACAGTCCTACATGCCTCAAAAATTGACGACATTACCTTGTGGACGTCAACGCCTGTCTTCACGCCTGCTTATTGACGGCAAACGACGACTAACTATTGGATGCCATCTCAGTTGCTCCGGGCTTGGTCAGAAGATTCGATAGCGATCAGAGAGAGAGAATTCCGCGCACAGCACCGTGCGACTTGATTTTGGGCTTCGAAATGTCCTGCGTTCTTTTGACTGAGCGATTTGGACGATGCCCGATCAACAGTGGGGCCTCCTCGCATTGCTTGCCTGACCCTGGTTCCGTCTTCCGGTGCATATCACCGCCTATTGTCTTATGGTGTCACCCCACGGGAGGTACTACATGTGCGCCTAATCCTGTAGTGGAAATACCAGTCAGATGGAAAATTGTGTATACCCGATGGCCAGAGGACAACACTCTCCGTAATCGTGGCAGTGGTAATATCGAGCTGGGGGTTACATTCACCTATCCAGACTACATAGGCCGATGTACATGCCGGCATGAAAATGTAGTATAGCTAATGCATCCCAGCGGGCGCAAAACGGTCTCTGGGCTCGATGTGGCTTTTTTCATATGGGTCATACGGCATAACACGGGAGAGGCGGCGCGGCCCATAACTGAAGCCAACTGGGAGGCTACATTGACTCAATTCAGTCTCGATGGTGTTACTCCTCCTCCGCCGCTAGACTTCACCGGACTTGGATGACTTGATGCTTCGGAATGAGAGCTTCCAGTGGGGCGGGCCGTCGTTGAGAACACAAATGAGCCATATAAAGTGAATTCTGATTTCTTGTCTCTTAGTTTGCAGTTTCAGTTAATCTCGACTTGACAGATCAGCAACACTTTGATTGGATCTCGCAACACTTGGGGGTTAGAAATCTGCAATTATAAATCTACATTATCAATCTGTATGCTGTTCAGCCTGTATGCCCCCGCGTCGCAACTTTGTTTGTGCTCGGCAGTTCTTCAACTTGCCTATATGAGGAAAATGACAGTGACCATCGGCAACAAGAACAATAAAACCAAGCTTCGATGGGTCAAGATGCAGGAAACGGAGCTCGGCCTCGGCCTTCGGGTCAAGTTGGTGTGTTGACTAGGAGCTGGGAGCCAGGGGTGTGGTCAAATGCGCCTCCATGTCGCCTCCACACTCCGACGACCATCAACACCGACGTTGGAAAAGGCTTTTTGACGGCAGACGAGTGGATTGAATTGTCCCCACAATCATGAGTTGATTGCGCTCGGCGCCGACCACCGGCTGGGGTCAGAAAGCTAAATGGTTGCCGCCACTACCCCAGGCCAGTTACTAAGAACTTTTTCCACCCTCCTGTTGTTATAAGGCGCCGTTTCGAAGACCGCAAATACACTTTGTTTCTTACATCCCACTGCTCTCTTGTTAGTTGATGTTCGAGTAGCAGATATAGTAACAAGGGACGGCCCCCTTCCCAACAGTGAGTCTGCCGTTTACGTAACCGTCGAGGGAGGCAATTATGGACGTTTACCAGGTAAACTCGCGAGTACTCCATGACGATGGAGAGACCAGTGTCGTGGAGAATGGCAACCAGGACGCCGTCACCAACAGCAACAAGGCCGAGGATCAGGGGACCAACAACCTAGAAAAGAAGACGACGGAAGTTTCGAGCGCATCCTACGAAGAGAGCTTTCCCGAAGGCGGCATGCGAGCGTGGCTCGTGGTCCTGGGTGCGTGGTTTGCCTTGATGTCGGCGATGGGTTTGATGAATACCGTTGCCATTTTCCAAGCTTACACACTCAGCCACCAGTTGAAGGGCCATAGTGAGGGCACTGTCGGCTGGATCTTCTCCGTCTACAACTTTCTTGCCTTTTTCTGCGGTGTCTATATAGGCCCCGTGTTTGACAAGTATGGCCCGCGGTGGTTGGTTATTGCTGGTTGCATCACAACTGTGACTGGGGTTGTATGCATGAGTTTCTGCAAGGGTACCTCCATCTTTTACTTTTTGTTGTTTCAAAGACTTTGGGACTGACTAACACAAATACAACAGAACTCTGGCAATTCATCCTGTCTTTCGGAGTCCTGTGCGGGCTTGGAACATCATTGCTCTTTACGCCATGCATTGCTGCCGTTGGGCATTGGTTCCGGAAACGAAGAGGCTTCGCTACCGGCATGGCCTCTACGGCCGGAGGCATCGGCGGCATCGTTTTCCCGCTCATGCTCACCTCGCTCTTTGACCAGATTGGCTACGGCTGGGCCACGCGTGTTCTTGCTCTCGTCTGTCTCGTCGGCGGCGTCATTGGCATTTTGCTCGTCCGATCTCGTCTTGCTCCCGCACCCAACGCCACGGCGCACCCAGACTTTCGCATCTTCAAGCAGGTCCCCTACACCCTGACCGCAATCGGCATCTTCTTGCTCGAATTCTCGCTCTTCATCCCCCTCGCGTACATCTCGACATATGCGCAACACAAGGGCTTCGGCGAAAAGTTCGCCTTCCACTTGTTGCCCATCATGAACGCGGGGTCTGTCGTCGGGCGCGCTCTGCCAGGGTATTATGCAGACGTCGTGGGTCCATTCAATGTGTGTCTGTTCTCGGTGCTTCTCTCGCTGGTCGCGTGCTTGTGTGTGTGGTTGCCGCTAGGGCATACCGCTGCCGGCATCATTGTCTTTTCAATCCTGTTTGGTTTCGGCAGCGGAACAAGCATTTCCATTGCGCCGGTGTGTATTGGAAGAATGTGCAAGACGCAGCAATACGGCCGATACTACGCCACGACATATACGGTCGTATCGTTTGCATGTCTGATTGGCATCCCTATCGGCGGCAATATTGTAGGTGCCAGCGGTGGTGATTACAAGAATCTCATCATCTTCACGGGTGCAATCTACGTCGGCTCCGCAGTGTTTTTGATGGCAGCCAAGACGGCTCATCTCGGCATGAAGGACTGGCTGTCTGCCTACTAAGACTGGACGGACAATGGGCACTCGACTCACCTGGGTTCGAGTTTATGCGTGCATCTGAAAAGCATGGTAACATTTTGCTTTGGTGAAATTCGGCGGCATTGACGGCGTCTCGGTCCAGCAGGTTTTGACAAGGCGTGGCTCTGCAGTATCTGATGATTCGTGACAGTCTATTGCAGTAGGAACTGGCTATAAATACCCACAAATAAAGCCGATTGTGACGACTAGTTGCATTTCAATATAAATTATATAACTGTTAGAGCAACTTGTTTGCGTCAAATCAAGTGATCCATGATACTACCCAGGTATGCAGCACGGGTCATAGTTGAAGGTCCTAAATTGAAACGCAGCAAGCCATGTCGGACCTCTAGCTGCAAACTGCCATCACAGCCGTTGCTTACCGTAGTGCCTTGTCTTGCAACAATTTACGGAACTTGCGCGACTAGATTCTTCACCGGCATGGTATTACGGGGCTCCTACGCTGTCATGTCCAGACGACTACAAGTTTGTACATGTCTTCTTTCTCTCTTTATTTGTTTCTCACATTTATCCGCGAGGGGCGGCACCACCACCACCACCTTCTTCTTCTTCTTCTTCTTCTTCTTCCTCTTCTACTTCCCAATATGCGCGTCATGCAGCTCGGCGACGGCAGGAATAATCAGCTTCTCAATCTCGGTGTCGGGGTCCTCCCTGGGCAGCTCGTCGGCGCGCAGCGGCCTGCCCTCGGCGTCCCCCCATCCGCCGGGCATGGACGACGGCGGCGGCGGCACGCGCAGCCAGGCGTCGTCGCGGCCGGGGCTGACAAAGACCACCTCCCACTTGCGCGTGGACAGCAGGTTGCCGATGACGAGGTGGTGCTGGTAGCGGTCGAGCGAGTAGCGCGCCTTGTGCACGAGTATGGCCGGGTCCGTCTCGAGCTTGTACGAGACAATCATGCCCTGGGGCGCCCAGCCGTCGACGAGGTTCTTGAGGAACTTGGGGACGGGGTCGAGGTCGATGACGAGGCGCTTGGAGCGCGGGACGCGCGGCGAGGCGTCAAAGTTGTCAAACTCCTCGTCCTCGGACAGCCTGTCGCCGCCGGGGCGGCCCCCGACGGCGTCGGTGGACTGGATCTTGTGCTCGGCCATGCGCTCCGGCGGCACGAAGAAGTCGGACACGGCGGCGGCGAGGTACAGCAGGCCCCGGCGGCCGAGGGGCCGCATGAGGCGCGAGATGGCGCGCAGCTCGTGCAGGTAGTCGCCGATGGTGACGAAGGGGATCATGAGCAGCGTGTTGGCGTCCTTGGCGCGGCGGTACTTGGCCAGCACGTCGCGCACCTTGGCCGCGTCGTGGCCCGCGCGCCACTCGACCTGGCCGGCCGGCCCGAGGCTCAGGAAGTCGAGGAAGCAGTCCTTGGAGTGGGAGAAGTGGCGCGAGTAGGGGAGCAGGCTGAACTGGCGGTGGAGGAAGACGACGGCGTAGCCGGCCTCGAGGAAGTACTCGGCCGAGGTGGCGCCGCGGGTGCCGGCGGAGAAGTTGTCGATGAAGCGGACGGTTTGCTTCTCGAGGGGCACCGTGGTGCCGCCCGAGGTGACGAGCACGACGCGGCGGTTGGCGAGGGCGTGCGCGTTGATGAAGGAGGATGCGAGGCGGGTGTGCTCGTCGAGGGAGCGGGGCGGCGGGTTGGTGGAGAAGTAGACGTCTTCGTCGGAGGGGGGAGAGGACGACGACGAGGGAGCCATTGTGGAGGGCGGCGATGGGGGCGGCGATGATGCGGATGGTGGTGAGGATGATGACGATGATGATGATGATGATGATGGCGGCGGGGAGAGCGAAAAGGCGAGCGACAGCGCGGGAGGCTGTTGGCGCCGGCGCTGGCAATGAGGGCGCAATTGGAGTCGACACGGTCTTGGCTGCGTGGTCTGGGGCTCTGGTGAAGAGGTCTCGGGAGGATGAGTAACTATGCATTCTGCGTATGTACTTGGGGTTTTTAATTTTTTTTTCATCTTTTTGGCTGTGCTCACAACTACGAAGCAGCTTACATCCCGGGATGCGGACATGGTGGGGTTGTGAATGGCCCGACGGTTGCGTCTCGAGCTGTGACTTGTACGCGGTATACTGTGGTGCGTCGAGGGGTGAATCTGCCAATGCGGCACCGTGCTCACTCAGGGTGCGCAAACATGGGCGAGAAAAGACGAGCTGTGAATATATAGACATCTATGCTGCGCGTATTCCCGTGGCCGCGCGCGATGCAAGCTGTCTCCCCGAGCCTTGCCGTCCGTCCGAGCCGCCGGAGCCTCCGCCGCCATGGCTGCCGCTACACCGAGGCACCGCTACGACGGATGCCGACGGGCCAACGATTTGAACCAATGACCTAACACGGTTTCCAACCGCATGGCAGCCCGTGACCAGTGACGTCAGCTGGCCGTCGCCGCGGCCTGGTGGGTTCCGGGGGCTCAGGGTCCAGATGTCGTTGATGACAGCCGACGGGCCGAGAGTCAACCGGCTTGGTCTCACACTCGCATTGAAAATCGGATTGCACCTCATTCACTCTTCACTGGCCACTTGCACGCCGCCGCTTTGACTGAACAGATGAATGTTTGCTACGAACATCAAGCCGCGACTCTGTGGACCGGTCCCGAGCCCATATTCTCCAAGAGACATCCGTAAACCAACCAACCATCCATCCAATCATTTTTACACTCTCCAGTCCCCCTCAACCCCCATCCTGGAAACTGACTCCCCCAATGCTGGGCAAAGTCCATCACCCAAGCAGCAGCCAAGCGGCATCAGCTAAACATGACCGTCAGTACACAAACCCACACATGAAAACCCGAGTCACAGCACGAACCCTTTTACTGCTGATCCTTCAGGCAGCACGTGCCCCTGCAGCACTGGAAGCCGATATCACAAAGGCCCTGCGTATGGTCATATCTGAAATCGTAGCCCTCGGCGCACTGCTGGCAGTTGTGAATCCTGGAGCCCCAGTTTTCCATGTCGTAGCATCTCTCCTGGGCAAAAGAAAGCGAGACAAGGGCAGCGAGGCCAACGAGAATAGCGTTGAAATGCATCTTGGTCTTTCTTTTTTTTTTTTCAAAGAAGCAAGTATGTAAGTTGAAAGATGGTTTGAAAAGGTGTAGATGAGTCTGAATTGATGGCAAGTGTGTCGAGCATCTGCCAACAGAGGGAGAGCAGCAAGCTTAAATACATTTTCTCCATGCCGCCCGGCCCAGCAACAGGAACATGTCATGTTGATGAAATTTTCCTTGGCCATCCCGGTCTTGGGAGGGAATGCATCCGCAAGGAGCGACATCTACAGCCCAGCCCGCGCGAGGCGTCGTCTTGCCGTGCCGTCTCTCGCTCCTCCTCCTCGGCTGACTCGACATGGCCAGATGGATGGGCAAGGTCGGCGTCCACATTGCCCCGAGGCGAATTGGCTCTGCTCGAGAAGGCTCGGTTTATTTCGAACCCGACATGTATGTACTCGTCGTCGCGCAACCCACGGAGCTGGCCTGACTTGGCCGGTCGGCTGGTCGGCCTTGGACAATAGAAGAAAGCATGTAAGTCGGACCCGAAATGCAACGGGATGCATAGATTCCACAGCGACGTGAGAGGCCCTTGTTTGCCCTTGCAGCAAGCAATATCAGAGGCCTCCAACATAGCCTCGGGTTCCCGCCAAATCAGCCGTCGTGTATTTCATCTTGCAAATTCGACGGGCCCGGCCGACAAGGAGCCTCAAAAAACTCCGATTGGCCCTGCCAAATATGCCGACGCACCGAGCCGACATCGTCAACGTCCCGTGTTCCCTTCCAGCCATACACATGGCTTCAAAGCGGCACACGGCCAAGACGTCACGTCTCCGGATCGTAAGCCGCGTCTGCGTGTCGTCATATTCTCCGGCTATTCGAGGAAACCAGCCACGGCGCGCCGAAACGGCCAGGTGGTTCGTGAGAATGGGCCAATTGGTCACGGGCGTACGCATATTGGCAGTCGCTTTGCGCCGGGTCCAGATGAACGATACAACAGCACCGATTCTCACCCGCAGAGTGGAACGATCTCAACCGCGTTGGCCGACGAAGCGAATGCGGCGCAACGCGACGGGCCAGAAATTACATAACGGCAGCTGCCGAGAGTCCGCATTGTGTTATATTTTTGGCTCTGCGGGCGACTGGGATACGACCACCTACGTACCTAGGCATGCATGTGCCTTGTACATGTCAACTCTCAACTCGGTGCTTCGAATTCGAGACATGAATCCAGATACGTGAATGGCTGTGGTTGTGCCTTTTGTGAGCATGACTCCAGGTCTTCGGCGCATTGTCATATATCACATGAGTCTGGGGTGTCTTTTGCACAAGACAGAAACTGCGACAGAAACCCTCATGTCAAGCTCAGGAGCGACGTGGCCAGACTTTTTTTCTTTTTATTTGTTAAACTTAATCTGTTGTGCAGGCTATAATCAAGCCATCCCAACTACATATCAGCGTCACTGCAGAGAGGGGACAAATCCTGCTTCAACAGGCCGGTGAATTCGTGACACCATCTACATGCAATCTCATCAACAGTCTCTAAAGCGAAACAATAAAAAGCGTCAATTATTCCCTCCCGCATGTCCCCATTCTACCGCTTGTCATTGGTCGGCGACAATCTCCAGGCCCGGAGAGGCAAGCTCTGCAGGTGCAGCACCTTTGGTTTGATATACCACAAGAACGACACCAGGCCAAACGCGACGCACAGCATGTTGACCATGTAGTACCCGTCTCGGCTCATATTGCATGTGCCGCCGCCAATTTCGCATCTCTCCTTCTCTGCTTGCACCGCGCAAGAAAACGCCTCGGTAATCACGGGTCCCTTCAATTTGGACGTGTCGGCATTGAGTGTAGGAAGGCAAGTAGCCACTGTAAAGGAGTCGACCAGCTTCAGCACAAAGTATCGCGGAAATGTACCGCCCAGGTTGGAAACGCTGCCCATCTCATTGTTAGCCTAATTTTGTACAAATACGAAAAAGAAAAGAAAAAGTAGAGGCCACTGCACTTACGTTGCGAGTAGAGTCATATATGTGCCGCCGATAACTGGATCCGAGACCTTGGCGTGGAAAGCAGAAACGGCAACAAACATGATGGTGTTGGTAAACGTCGACAACAGATGCTCCGCAATCACCACACCCATATACCACATGGTGACGCCATTGCTAGGGAACATGGCCACTGTGATTTGAGCAAAGATGGCCGCACCCAGTCGGCCGAGAAACCCCCAGCACCACAGTCGCATGGGTGTATACTTTTGCGACCACATGCCCGCATAGTATCCGAGACCAATCTCAAAAGGAAAGTCAATGAGGACCGTGAGCGCCATGTTATCCTTGCCAAAGCCCTTGTCCAGGAGCTTCAGGTTTGTGACCCCGTCATTGGCCTGGAAACCAATCTTGGCAATGAGATGCACAATAATGATTGTCTGTACATTCTTCAACTTCAAGATGCCCCACATGATTCGGTAGACGTCCCATACGCCGTCGTCGTTCTTTGACTTTTCCTCCCGCTTCAGGAACCCAAGTCCAATAGTAACGATGATGTAGACCCAGCCCCAGAACGTCAGGTATCCGCCCAGAGAAACTAGCCCCTCCTCTGAAGGGACCGACCGGAACCACTTGTTGGCAAAATCGCTGGCGTTCAAAGCCAAAAATACCGTATACGACATGAAATGGCCGGCAGTCAGGCCGACGGTCTGAGCGGTAGATGCATACGACACATTTGCCGGCGTAAGGAGCGTCAGGGCCCAGCCGTCCACCGCAATATCTTGGGTTGCACACATTAGAACCAGGAAAAACCACCACATCATGAAGCCCCAAACGGTAGGACCACCCGGTTTTCCGGTTGTTTCCATCATCGTCTCAACATGCGATCCAAGCCAGAGCATGCTGAAGCCAGAAAGGAACTGAATGGGCACGATCCAAGTCTTTCGCCGACCAATCTTGGGGCTCCAAACTGCGTCCACAAACGGACTCCAAAACAGCTTCAGTGAATAAGGGTACGAAGCCAAGCTAAAAATACCAATCTCCCCGTATGACATGTGGTTCTTCAGAAGGAAAGGAACCGATCCCATGGCAAGGCCCATGGGGATGCCCTGGAGAAAATACAACAACACCAGCAACAGGAAACTCCGCTGGTCCCGTCTCGGCAGCTCGCGAAATCCATGATTGCTCGCGGTCGGCGTCTTGGGGATCGGTTCGTCCAGCGAAAAGCTCTCGCGAGAAATGTAGTTGCCAGTCACAGCCTCCGAGGTGTCAAGGTTGTTGGCAGACTTGCGCCGCATTTCCACGCCGTTGCTCATTTTGCCGTTGGCATTCCCTTCCTTCAAAGAGAGGGGAGCCGGTCGTTGCGATGATGGCGACTTTGATCGTCGCGCTCTGGCACCCATAGGCAGTATTTGTGTAATATATCTCGGCCGTGTGGGGTGTATGTTGTATCTTATATATCAGGCTTCCTCTGCAAGGGAGGGGTTTTCAAGAAGTAAGGTGAGAGTTGTCGCTGCTGTTTGCTGTTCTCTTCAACAGGAATGCTCGTGCTGTAGAATCCAAAAACATGTGCGATTCAGCACGCCGTCTTAATATCGGTTCGATTCGACGATGTTGATGGTGCGCCAGGGAAGGAATCGAGTTGTTTTTCTCGGGATCGTCTTTGAGAGGGTGAATCATGTAAGAGAGCGACGGAAAATAGCGTTCGAAATGAAGAAAACTTTGTAGGAAACACTAGTCCTGGTCATCGGCCGAGATCCAAAAAGTCTAAAAGAACGTTGGGGTTGCGCCCAAATTGAAATATTTATGCTGGTGCAAAGCAACCGTGGCCTCAAGGGCTTACAAATGGAGACAAGAGATGTGGCAAACCGCCAGGAAGCAACGTATCAAGCGAACGTGAGAGGCCTCTCCGACAAGCCTCGAAATAAGGGTAGCAAATGAATCCGAAATGGCAACCCGTTCAACGGCAGTCCATAAGCGACCCAGGGACAAGGGTCAATGGCTCGTCGTGCAGGCAAAGGGCGAAGAAGAAGTTGAAACTAGCGCAAAAAGAACAAACACACGATCTCGTGCTCCCGGGCTGCCGGCTGCCGGGCTGCGGGAACTGGATTTCGCTTGATGGCAACAGAGACACTTGGCACTTACCCGCATAGATCGCCCCTGCCTCTTTCAGTCGCCTAGACCTTTTTTGGGGTCGGAAGAATAGATATTGCGCCGCCATCAGGGGAACGAAACTCCGAAGGCTACCAATCGGCGATTGCCTTTGCTGTGCTGCGGGGACGCTGCCCTGCAAGCTTGCCCATCCATGTCTTATCTTATCGCGAGTGTTGCTCGACGCGTTGAGCCTCATTCAACACCAACAATTCTCATTCTTATCTCACCGACTTGCCGGTTCACAGTCCCGACATGACCGCAAACGCAGGTGGGATGTAAAATTAACAATAATAATAAAAAATGGATCCCGAACAGACTTCATCCGAGCCGTCTCAGCTAGACAAGGAGATTGCATCATTAAGGAAACAAGGTCCGCAGCTTCACGCGCCCTCTCACTCACCATTTTCAATCAAGACCACTCACACATCAGCAGCGGCCTCTTTACGCAAAGCCCTCCGGATCCAGTGCTCAACCATTCTATCGTCAGCGTCAACATCTCGTCTCATCCGCTCCTCATCCTCGCCCGCCGTTGGCCGTCGGCCCGGCTCCTCAGAAACCGCATCCTCCAAACTGAGCAGCCGCTCAACCCAGCAACAAGCCCACATGCAGCAATGCGTCTACCGAATATCCGCGCCCGTAACCTCCTTCAAGGTCCGCGACCCTGACCCCAATGCCGTAGACGACGGCCACGTCCTGGGCCTGCGATTCGAAATCATGTCACGAGGACAGTTCCTCCGCCCCTACTACGTGATGCTGAACCGACCATACCCGGGCTCACGACACCTCCGCGTCCACAGACATACTGTCCCTCCTGCAGTCCCTCTAGCCGGCCTGGCAGCAAGACACTTGCCGCAGCCATCACGAGCAGGCGGAGGTAGCAGCTCCACGGACCAAGACCTCGACAAGTTTGTGAGGACGCTGCGGCGAGAGATTGTACGGTACCACAATCGACTGGGCGTGTCGGCGGATCTCCGCCGACGGTTGGGATTGCACGAGAGAGGTGGACGGGTGGTAGCGCCCAATGCGCTCGTGGAAGCGGGCATCGCAGACATAGAGGCCAAGCAAATAAGTCTCACCTGGGCAAACGACAAGACTGGCAGACTTATCATGGACGATGATGGAAACGTGGTCAAGTTCGTGGTGTTTGGGAGCGATGGGCGTGACTGGGAGGCATCGAGTGCTGTTTTTGATAAAAATGATAGCATTGAGGATGTAGCTAGGAAGTTGGAGGAGCGTCTGGAGGAGAGCATCCTTGAAGAGCAAGAGGGATGATGAGAATAATTGGATACCCAATGTAGCGAGCGACATAGAATTGCATTTCACTTAGGCGACGAAGCATATGAATTAAGATAATGATCAGATTTCGTGCACAAATGACCATCCACCATACTTAGTTACTTATTTGCTGCTCCAAAGTCATGAGTCACAAAAAGAGTTTTTCCAGCAGTATTCACAGGTCAAAGTGGTTCAAATGAGTTGTATATACAATATTGACACTACATCGGCGGGATAAGTTCCGACACTAGTAAAGTAAATCTGCAGAGAAGTCTTAATACAAGAATCAGGCATCTGCATGTAAACACCCACTCCCAGTTTTACACGCCAGCCACAGGCGTCTATTGACGCTCCCCAAGCACAGAAGCTGTCCCAAAAGCTGTAACGAAAAAAGCATTGTGAAAATTTTTGTATCTCGCCACACCGATCCCATAATATCGTCATGATATACTCAAATATACTACAGCCTCCGGGATATACGCTATCCGGGTCAGCACACCCTCCCCGCTTAGATCAGGAAAGCGGCGATGAGACCCATGGCGACCACAGCACCAACCTTCTGGCTGTTATGGGCAGCACCAGCAATGACAGGGGGAGTCTGGGTCCAGTTGCCAGTAGGGGGTGTGCCAGTGCCAACGGGAGGGAGAACGACAACCGCAGGAGACGAGGCCTCGGAAGGAGTGGTGGCAGGAGATGGAACCACTGCAATAGGGGTGGTGATGGCAGGGAGAGTGACCTGAGTAATAGCGGACTGATTGACAGGCTTGGTCCAGACAGGTGCCTGAGTAGTACCAGGGGCGGTAGCAGACAGAGTGCCCGGGGCGGTTCCGGGAACAGTACCGGGAACGGTGCCGGGCACGGTAGCGGGAACAGTAGCGGGAACAGTAGCGGGGGTGGTGGCAGGGACAGTTTTGCTGGCAGGAACCGTGGCCATAGTTGTAGAGTGAACTGGCACGGGGCAGACGGTTGTAGTGGCCGGGACAACCACAGTGGTAACGTGAGGACCAGCAGGGCAGTCGGTCACGGTAGGAGCACAGCTGATGAGGGTCTTGATTTGAGTCTGAGTGACAGTGCTGGTGGTCCAGGTATGAGGAGCCTCTGGCTTGCAGTCGCAAGGATGGACATAGTGCCACTCGTCGTTGTCGTTGTCGTCACAGCCGTCCATGGGAACGTGGTGAGGAGGGTGCCAGACGTCAGTGCAGCCAGCAGGAGGACCGTTTTTTGGGCAGTCGTCAGTCTCGATGGAGATGCCAAGGGGAAGCTTGACATCGAGACCCAGGCAGAGGTCGACCTTGACCAGGTTGCCGACACCGAGTTTGAGATCAAGGGGGGAGCGAGCCTCGTAAGCCGAAGCAGCGGCTGCGACAGTCGCAACAGCAAAGACGGCAGACTTCATTTTTAGGCGGAGTGTAGTAAATTTGAAAAAAAGAGTGGACGGGTAATCAAAAAGGCCCGGAAAACGAAGGTATGAGGTGAGAGCGGTTGGAGTTGTGTCCAGAATTATGCTTTCTGTGCTGATGAAGAGGAGAGAGAATAGACTTATTTGTCAGGGCACGTCAATGGGCTTAAATAGACAACGACCATGGTGCCCAGCTAACACTTACACCACTATCTTCATAGCGTCTTTCCCTTTGCATGTTGATTCACGGGGGAAATGAGGAGCAAAAACAATACAAACCGCAGTTGCTAGTACGGTGTTGGAAGCCAATAGGCTTGACCCCTGTCTCACAACAGCCACCCCCGGCTTAAATCATAGGCATACATGTGCGGAGTGAGATTATGGTGACTCGGTAGGGTCGACTTGCGAGGGAGTGAGTTGGTAGTTGGTTGTCAAAGCAAGCCCAGATCAGAGGAGAACCCGGTGGACGCAGCTCAGTGCCCCGACCTTTCCAGGAACAATGTCTGATGCTCATGCAGCCACATCAAGGGCCTCGTGGAGTAGCTTCGCCAAGGAGCGGGCCGTGCGCTTTACTCTGCGGAAAACTGGTATCGCGCGGCCGGAAACTTTGGAGGATCAGCATGCAAGTGCCGACATGGGACGGCCTACATAACTGACAGTTGATGTACAGAGTACGTCGTACCAGATGTGTATCTCTGGTTTTCATCTTCTCTGTGCCGCCCAAAGCGCCGTCGCAGCCACGACTGAGTATCCATCTCGTCTGGGGAATTCCATGTTGTATCGTGTCCCATGTGTGTCAAACGAGCAAGCTGCCTCCCCCAAGTTGCTGCTCCTAGACATAGAGGCCCGTACTCCGTATAACTGCTCGCAACCGCTGCCTTATCCCAAGAAATCGCTTCGGGCTTCTTCTCTTGCAGACAGAAGACAGACCCTTCCGCCGCCCTTGTTTGTGTATTATTGGTTTGTTTGCTTTTTCATATAGCTATTCTCGGAGCAAGGGATGAAGTGCCTAGGTAGTCAAAAATTAGCCGCCCCTCTTTCCATTTCGGGAAGAAACCGGCGTGCGGAGACAATGGGCCACCCAATTTCTGACCGAGACTGACCGGCTGATAGTAGACAATAATAAATTGATTGTCTTCTGCAGGGCGACTGTATCCCTCACCCCCTATTGTAGTCAACCACTGCCGTATTCTTTATATTTAGCATGGCATGGTAGCGACGGATTTTAGCCCAATCCTAGCCTTTGATCGTCTTATCGATGTGACAAGCAACCTGTGGCTGTGAGACTCCTTATTCCGTTTCTTCCGCCATATCAATGCAATACCGCCCGCTTCGGACAAACGGGGCATCGTTGGTAGAAGTTGTTAGACACGCGTTGATGTGGGTTCTCTCTCTATCTTTTTTTTTTTTTTGCCTTTTCTGGCCGTCGCGCATGTGTTCAGTTCGTCATCAGTCTTATGTTCCCTTGTTGACCCGGATCTGCAAGTGTGTTTTGAGGAAGGGATACGGTGCAAGAATCTAGCTTGTCCATCGCCCTTGTATGGTTTTGCTCCCCCGGCCAAAGGTGAGCTATGCGTCATCAGCTCTAAGCTGTAAATAAAAGTGTTATGTACGAGGGAGCCAGTCCAATAAGTAAACGTTCGTGCTGTCGATGTTTGCCATCTCGTGTGAGCCAGAGCCTGGCCCATCCATGCCGCCCTTTCTGACAGCCCAGGGTGAGCGAAGCGAGGTCGCACACCGTCCTTTGTACACCGTATTACAATCGGTGTGTCAAATGAGATCTGACTTACACTCCATACTGGGGCATGTTTTCTTTTGAGAGGAAGAGCCAGCCTTGCAACCCGCCTTAGTACTCCATACGGAGTAAAGCCCACCTGGATTGCACCTGGCAAAGCCTGCCGCAAAAGCAATTCTGTGCGTCAACATTCTCGAAAGTTGCCATAAGTCTCTTAGACATGCTATTATTTCTCCGTACGAAGTGCGGAATACAGTATTTCCGGACAGAATAATGAACCTTCACCAATCCAGGGATTGCTTTGACCGTGTGGGAGCAGATACGTTGAGTGGTGGCTCAATCGAAGCTGTGTCCAGACGCGGCCCGTTGGCATCATCGAGAATCGACACTTGAATATGCCACATGTTCGTCTGTTCGTCAACAACCCTGCTCCATTTCTTTATCAAAGGGTGCGCAGCAGCCACGTCAGGGAATAGAATCTGGTCACCGTCTTTGGCGGTCACGTCGTAGTTCCAGGTGCCATCTGGTGCCCAATAGTCTGCCGAGAAAATTTTGCCTGTACTCAGCTCGTCCCTGGCTTCGTTTAGCAACTTTTCTGCCGTCTCTGCCGTCTCGCCTGGTTGGCCCTTGACCGCATCAGCAATGCCTTCAATCATGCCGAGTAGCTGCCCAGCCCGCAATCCAATAGTCGCCCCTAGACTAAAGCCCTCGTCGAATCCACCCTGGATGCTCGCCTCCTTGGCTACGGTGATGCCTTCTCGATACCCGGCATTTGTGTGTTCAGTTTCCAGGCGCCGTATGTCTGAAGGATGAGAGCTACTTTGCGCCTCTGGTTCGGCTGGTGAAGCTGGCGTGGAACCAAAAACGTCGTCGAGCTGATCAAGGCTTGCGTGTAGTTCCACTCTAGGCCCTCCGCCAAGGTGGGAAACGTAGGCATCCTCGAAGGAATTCTCTATCGGCTGGAAATGCATGTTGCGGTCGGTGACTATGGCGCTTCCGAAGGTCTCAGTTGAACTTTATGGCTTGGTCGCTTGTTTTTTTTTTTTCCCTCCTCTCCGCCCGCTGTGTTTTTCTTCGACGAGGAACCCACCCTGCGAGAAAATTGATATGCGACATTCGCACTGTATGATGGAGCAGAGGTGCATGTGATGGTTGGTGATGTCACTGTGCACACTGTGTCCATTGCTAACGGTTTAGGGTAGCAGCCGCCCTTCCTTTTGACGCCCTAGTTTCTTCTCTCAATGTAGGTAGGACATGACAGCCACAGTGCTGCCACACCTCTCCACAGAAAATAGCTGAAATTAGAATACTACGTGCCCCTTGCTTTTAAACAGCCAGTGTCTAAGACAATTACAACGCTAGTGCCTGCATGTCATAACATACTTTACCCTTCTCCCCTTTTCAGTGCGTCTGCGTAGTACACAGAAAGATGGGAGTTGACGAAGGACTTGGGATACACAGCGGAGCTTCCTGCCACGCGTTCGCAAACGTGTCAATGTAGCACGAAGTGTTTCTTCGTGCAATGTATGAGTTAAACCAGATGCTTACTGAAAGTAGATGTCTGGTAGTAGTACTTGGAAAGGTTGGGTTCGAAGCTAGGGCTGGGTACCGTTTGAAATAGTCGGGACTTTAAGCTTTTTGGGTCTTCATCCCGCAAGGCCATTGGGTTGCCAAGTGAGAAGCCATAATGGAACATAATTTGAACCTGCGATTAGAAACAAAGATGTCAAGTCAAGTCAGACGTATATAGGGTCAGTGACGTAAGTCAAATAACCCGCCCGGCCTACATGACGCTTGCTTTGGGAATATCTATTTCTTGCAGTCCACTCCGTACAGGGTAGGACGTCCAGTCACTTGGGACAACTGCCTCCATCGTCGCATTCGTCTAGATACAAGATGACTCCGCCCAGTTTCAATGCTCTACGGTCAATATCCAGGATTCCTGAATTTGAATAGTTGAGTATTCCAGGGAACGCATGTTTTGTCGTTATCTTTATTGACTTGCTTGGTGATTGTATCGTTGTTGCCGACATCCCCTCGCCTCATCGAGAAGCCTAGAACGGCCCAAGCACATGATCCTGGCAGACCAGAAAATGCACGACTAGTACTTTGCCCGTCGGCAATTCGTGGGACACTCACACATTCTACCCTCCACACCTTTCATGGCTTGCATCACAATGACTAGACAGAATTGTTGATCGACAACAACGTCCTTGCTCATCAAACTCGTATAGAAACTCTATTTACGGAGTACTTAAGTGCCTATCTCCTGCCTAACAACTCTCGCAGAACCTGGCAAACCGCATCTCCCACTTCACGGGTACCTGCATTCCCACCCATGTCCTTCGTTCGCATGCCCAAGCCGCCAGCTCCCTTGGAGTCGAACACACGCCGAACTGCCGATTCAATAGCAGCCGCCTCGTCCGTCAGGAGACATGAATACCTCAACAACATGGCAAGACTTAGGATTTGCGCAACAGGGTTGACAATGCCCTTGCCTGCAATATCGGGTGCGCTTCCATGGACAGGTTCGTAGATGCCATTGCATTTGCCTTCTCCCGGCACGCCAGAAATGCTGGCGCTGGGTAATGTACCCAGGCTGCCAACTATACCGCCCGATATGTCGGATAAGATGTCGCCAAATGTGTTATCTGTGTGGATGACGCCGTTGAAGCCGCGAGGGTTCTTCACCATAAGCATAGCCATGCTATCTGCGAGTTGGTGGCGTAGCTCAACGTCGGGGAACTCTTTCTTGAAAGTGTCCTCAGTCACTCTCCTCCAAAGCCTGCCGCTTGCTAAAACGTTGGCCTTGTCTGCACTCCAGACGACAGCTGGGCCACCGCCTCCCTTTCCATCGCCAGACTTGCCCAATAGACGCGCAACGGCAGCAGACACGCGAGCACATCTTTCGACCTCGTGTGGTCTGTACACCCAAAGATCTGAGGCGACGTCGGGTGTCTCAACCTTGTCACCAAAATAGGCCCCTCCGCAGTTTTCCCTCACGACGATGAACTTGGTGCCTCGAATAATATCCGACTTGAGCGGGGATGCGTCCAGCAACGAGGGAACAACAAGCTCACAAGGGCGAAGATTTGCAAAAGCATCGAGCTTATGACGAAGTTGAAGAAGGCCCGATTCAGGGTTGGGCGAGGCATTAGCCCATTCGGGACCGCCAACGCTGCCGAATAACACTGCGTCGCTTTGTGTTGCTTTTTCCAGGACCTCCTGGGTTACCGGGACTCCGTGTTTGTCAATGCTGCTGCCGCCGACGAGCTCGAAAGTACGCTCGAATTTGAGGTTTGGTCGTAATTCCTCTATAACATCTAGTACCCGCAAGGCTTCGTTTATGACCTCTGGACCTACATGGTCGCCAGGTAAAACGAGGAGTTTGAACGTGTTTGAGTTCATATTTCAGCTTCCGTGAGAGTGACTGTCATGCTTGGAATGATAAACTACCTAGGTACTTTTTCCGAGCCTCGAGCCAAGAGTCCAAGACGAAGTCGAGTTATAGCTGTGAAAAGCACACCTGCTGTCCGTTGCGCGTGTCCGAACTCGGCTTTCGCTCATCTGGCAACCATCGTCTAAGAACTACATCGGAGCTTGGCCCCGCGTCAAACTACCCAAGTATCCATGGTGTCTCCGGTAACGGGTGGAATCGGCGTCATTCAGTGTGGGCGTTCATACAATCCAACCCCTGTAGTTTAGCCATGAGTGACCTGACAAGGAAGTAAGTGGGGTTTATTTACAGGGACTTTTCTGCTAACAGGAGCTCTTTTTATTTATATTAATGGCTGTTATCTATAATATAGGTTAAATGACAGGGGAGTAGTGGGTCTTGTAAGAGTAACCTTTATTGATAAGAGATTTTATCGCGTTATCAGGTACTTTAAACCCCCATATGCTCTCTGTAATAGTGATATCTCATTGGCTTGAACCCCCCTTGCTATGTCACACCTGGCTAAACATTCAGGGTCCGAATTGTACGCAGAAGTCGCTAGTCCTAACCGGGCTGGGTGTCCCACTTGCTTGAGTCTGGTTCAACCTCACAGCTACCGGAGCGTGCCACCCACTGGCCTTGATATCTCTCTGTTCATAACCACCGGTGCAACACGCCACTTTCTGGGGCCCCGGAGAAGTGCCACTCTCTCCCCGGGCTCGGACGAGAAACGAGTTATGGCTCAAGTGGGGAGGAGTCTCTCATGGCGGACGGATCCCCGCATGAGCTTTCGGAAGGATTGACCAGTATGAAGATATGCTAATTTGACCACCGTGATTGCACATATTTCTACACCCCCAGAGACGGTCTCATCTTGCATCATATAGGACCTTCGTTCATCTGGACTTCATTACAAACCACTTCTAAATCAATTTACCATGGCCCAAGGACGTCTTGAAGGCAAAGTAGCCCTCGTCACAGGCGCAGCATCAGGGTTTGGCAGAGGCATTGCCGAGAAATTCACCGAAGAAGGAGCCAGAGTTGTCGTTGCAGATCTCTCAGAAGATGCCGGGAAGGCAGCAGCCTCTGAACTGGGCGGCATCTTTGTCAAGGCAGATGTTACGAAAACTAGCGACTGGGAGAACTTGCTGAGCGAGACTTTGAAGGCATTCGGGCAGTTGGACATTATCGTCAACAATGCCGGTGTTACTTATCCAAATAAGCCAACGGAGGATGTCACAGAGAAGGAGTTTGACCTGGTCTTTGACGTCAACGTCAAGTCCATCTATATCTCAGTCAACGTCCTACTAAAAAAGTATTTCTTGAAGGAGAACCGACCCGGTTGCTTCATTCAAGTTGCTTCTACAGCTGGCATTCGACCTCGCCCGCGCTTGACGTGGTACAATGCCTCAAAAGGGGCAGTCATCACAGCGACAAAGTCCTTGGCCGTGGAATATGGCCCTCAGCAGATTCGGTTCAATGCCGTTTCGCCTGTTGTCGGCAGCACTGGAATGTGAGTAGTCTCTCTGGCCATTGGTACAGGGTGCGTTGCAGAGCAGGAAGTTAACGCACCAGACGTCATATAGGACGCACTTGTTCCTGGGTAAGCCCGATACAGAGGAGAATCGGGCAGGTTTTGTTTCTACGGTTCCTCTGGGACGACCATCTACACCGGCAGATGTTGCCAATGCTTGCTGCTATCTAGCTAGTGAGGAAGCCAGCTTCATTACCGGTGTGAATATGGAGGTTGATGGTGGACGATGCGTGTAGAACCTAGTTTAGGCAAATCGATGAGACGCTGAAAATATTTTCCGACCAGCTTCGCTCTCGATGTAATACATGACCGGGATAAAGTTGCTACGTGCGACATGGGGTTGTCATCACTGGCAAATATCTTGATACAGAGATATGGAGTTCCAGATGACTGTCAGCTTAGATTGCCTTCCAAGATGGTGAAAGCTCGCACATGCAACCCAACGGTCAGCAGGCAGGCACAGTGGAGACGATAGTGGCGTCCGCCACTGAAGCTACATATGTAGTTGACTGAATTTCATCAGTGCGCCAGACCCCACTACTCGGCACCCCATACTCCGTCGTCCGACATCCGTCATCCTCCAGTCCCCAGACCCCGGATTCTGACATGGTCTGATTCGTTTTGCCAGCCGCTAGTTTTTTCCATCCCGAATTATGAATCAACTACTGTCCATATTCCATCAAACCCATATACGGCATATACAACCATGAGTAGCTCTGCATGATGCACTTCAAGATGGAGGAGCCGGGCCTGATAACACGATCCAAACTCGCCTGTGATCAATGCAACCGGTCCTTCACGCGACCTAGCCATTTGAATCGCCACCGTCTCACACACCTCCCTCACTCTCAGAGAAGGACGATCCAATGTTCCCATTGCGATAGGAGCTTCTCGCGACAGGATGTTCTTCTCCGTCACCTCCGCGCATCGCATGACATCGCAGCCGGGAACGGAGGCACGAGCCAAAAATCTTGTAATCGATGTGTTCGCCATAAGTTGAAATGCGATAGAACCATGCCATGTGGCTCTTGCCATGCGGCCAAGACGTCTGATACCTGCTCATATCCATATGCGAAACCTCTCCATCATGTGCCTTGCTCACCTTGTCCACAGACTCGGGATATCCATCAGACGAATGTGGCACGTGATACAGGGCAAGACGCAGGTTGTGACAGTGTTGATTTTCAGCAATACGACGAGCCCTTATCAAAGGATTACAGAAATTATACCATACAAGCATCGCCAACCGCGGGCTTTGCTGAATTTGATCAGAGATTCGACCCCATGATTCTTGAGGACGGTTGCAGCCCTGCCTTTGACCATGGGAACACACCAAGCGATGGGAATGCGACAGTTTACTCACAGTCTCTAGATGCTACACTGCCTTTTGACTTCAGAGGTAGCGGGCTTGACTGGCTTGATTTCGATATATCCAACATTCACCTCCCTATCGACACCCAGCCAGCTGTGGAAGAAAATGTACCTCCACCAGCGAGCGTGTACGGTGTTCTACCCTCGACCAACCCGATACCTCCTCTTCCAGCTTTACCCCAGAGACAGAATGTTCTACCATGGCCATTTGAACAAGGGAAGGAATCACGACCATCGCGATTCCCACTACCAAGATTACATGATGTACTAAAGGAATCAACGCAAGTTAGCCCGGGAGGCCAACAGACCCCGGTCGATTGCCTAGTCCAATTACTCTCTCAGCAGCAGCTCCCTAGTCCGAAGCAAGTAGCTTCGCGTAACCTCAATTCGGGTATAGACCTTTTGAATCAGCTCATTGATTCATATTTTTCCGGATTTCAAATCATCCAGCCCATCGTTCACGCGCCGACTTGGACGATTACTGAATGCCCAACGATGCTGCTGGCGGCAATGGTTTGTGTTGGATCCGTGCTGTCGACAGGTCCAGGATCTAGTGAGGTATCGGATGCCGTTGGTGAATTCTGTGCATCAATGATCACATGGCTGGTAATTATACTCAGGACAGCGCTAAAATTGGCGGAAGCTAACTAGGTGCAGGGCATATCGGATAGTGCTAATTATTCCAACATTTCGTATCTGGCTGCATTATGCTTACACCAGATATATTCTTTGGGATCTGGGAACCGTCATCTATATCAAAACGCAGACCGGACGCGAGGCGTCCTAATCGGAAGCCTACGGGGACTAGGACTGTTGAATGCTCGACTCAGCATCCAAGATGAATCGGCAGACAGCAATGGAGCCGTGGTGGACCAGACCAACCCTTACGCTGAGTGGAAATCGTGGGTTACAAGAGAGAGAGACAATCGCATCGCCTGGGCATCTTTCGAATACGACTGCAGCCTGTGTACTTTGACCAACCGTCGGGGAGCTGTGGACTTGAGCGAGCTTCCAGCGAGGTTGCCCTGTTCCGAGTCATTATGGGAAGCACCATCTGCACATGCTTGGGCTGCTTTGAAGTTCCGATGTCCACCAAAAGCCCAGGGAGCCAAGCTGTCTAGTGTCCTGAAAGCTGCCATGGCTGGAAAACCAGTCGATGAACATGTTTCCATGTGGGGAAGGAGATTGTGCGGCCAAGTCATTGGACGTCTGCTTTGGGATTTGAAGCAGCTGGAGGCGCTGTCAACAACAGATTACTTTGACTTGCCTTCACTGTTCAAAGCCCATCAGCATTCCAAGACTGCTCTCCTCCGCGGACTTGACTCCCTTCTGGAATCTATGGAACAGCCATGCTCTACTTCTGATCTTGTCAGCTACAAGTATGATTCCTCCTCGTTTCCTCGCCACGACAAAAACTACAACACCAAGGTAGCTGTGACTAACCGAAAGCCTAGTATCTCCTCCCTTCTATGCCACTATTCCCATATGTACGCTGCAGACGATATAATGGATATAATTCTCTACATGGTGCGCAAAATAGTGTCCCACGGACCAGAGAAGGACAAAAGTGTCGCTGTCGCAAGACGCCGGCTCTCCGCGGCTATGAAAGCGGATAAAAAGCGAACAAGACGTCTCTTGTGGCACTCGGGCCAAATCATCGCCGTCGCCAATGAGTTCTTGGTCTCTGCCCCCTGTGAAATCATGCGTCTCTTCATGGCGTACATCTTTGCCGTGGCATATGTCAAATACAGCCCGTCGTCATTGAGATCCAGAGACGGCGTTCACCTGAGACTGGACATTCACTCCCGTGACATGGAGCACAAAAAGGCAGCAACGCAATGGATCCAGACTGGTGGACCCGTACAAATCGGCTCGGCGGACGATATTTTCACCGAGGGATCTACCGCTCTTATCACTAGGGACGCGCAGAGTATATTTCAACGACTGGGGTCTTGGGGACTCGCCGACAAGTTTGCCAAAATACTGCAAAGCTTCGAGAATCACAACGCATGATATAAAATGCCAACAATTACTATTCCACGTGACGCCTTAGCTAAAGCAGTAATAAGACAGTAATAAGACAAGAGCAAACAAACTAAAATATCGCAAGGCAGTTTGGAGGACTGCTCACGCCCCCGGGCATATTCAACGGCGCACTGGAAACAAAGAACTCCCAGCGACCTAGCCTTTGACAAGTCTTGCTCAACTCCTCCAAATCAAACAGCTCGCCAACCGGCAGCCCCCAACCCGCAATCAAGTACTCATGCATCAGGAGGCCAGGGACCTCCCGCCCACCCTCGGTCTTAAAGGAATCCTGCTTCGGATACACCTCGAAAGAAATGGCATCTCCCGCCACGGCAGCAAACCCCTCATTCCATATCCATCTCAACATCTCCTCCGTGCCTTCAACCCCCGCATGCTGCGGATTAGGATCACTGCCATACGCCAACTTATCCGCGGGGCTCATCTGCGTGTCCCACTCCCTCGTGACGCCAATCCTCACTAACAATACATCCCCTCTCCGGAATATAATCTTTTCCTCGTCGGCAATCTGTTTCAGCACCCTCAACGGAATCGCATGGTTCGAAAACGCGCTATACTCAACGCCGTTCCTCTCCGCCCACGCCGCATAGTCCAGCAGCACTCCCCGTCCGCAAATACCCTCCTTGGCCCAGTGCTGCATGCCAATCCGATGATTCGACCGGTCGCCAATCTCGGCAGCCGTCACGCCGCCGTAGAATAGCCTCCGCGAAGGGTCCTGGGGCGTGGGAAACGGCGCCGAGAAGTGTCTCAGGCCGTCCCACTGCGACGACTGCTGCGGATTGAAAATGTACACGTCGTCGAAAGCCGCCCCGTCCAGCAGGGAGACGATGTGGTGCTGCGCTGGCGCTCGGTTGAAATTGGCAGTGTCCAGCTTTCGCAGGTCCCAGTTGAGCGAGACTCTGATGCCGGTTTTGATGCAGGACTGTGCCGCGGAGGCAACTACTTCGGGCGTGAGGAGGGAGAGGCGGCCTAGCCCTTCCTCATGGGAATTTGGGGCAGCTGGCCATACGCGTTTATTGTCCGGGAGGGAGTCGAAGGGGGTGATGGATAAGGGGACGGATTTTGTCATGTTGAATAGGAGAGCCGTGTTTATGGATCATGTTATTCCCATAATACGGGTTGGGTATATTCGAGAAAAGAGAGGAAAAAAAAAAAGGACAGAGGAAATAGAGAGGTGCTTGGAAATTTTGGAACATGATCATGGTTGGGTGGATCTTGGGCATCTTGGGGTGTACAGCATGGTGGAGATGATTGTTTATTGAAGTCTCGGGCCAGGTGGCACGTCCGGTACCGACGCTATTGATCATGGTGGTGGCACTTGGGGGCCACACACATTGCGGGACGAGTCTGGACCTGGTGTACGGAGTAGGCAATGTTTCAATCTCTCTTCGAACAATTGACTAAGATGGGTAGTGTTGACGCATATTGGTGACTTGTTCAACGCGGGGTCATGATGCGGACGTGATGCAAAGACTGAGCATGGGAGTATCAAGCTTGTTACATTATTGCGACCAACTCCGCAGAGAGAGAGAGCACATTATGACGTCAAGTCCAGAGACATGTATTATTCCTGTGCTAAACTACTTCCTGACTCCGTGATGGAAAAGCAAAAACAACCTAAAGGGGGATATATGATCATACCAAGCACTAAGCCTTGGTCGCTTGCTCCACCTCAGCCTTCTCGGCAACGTAGCCGTCTTCCTTGGCCAAAGCCGTAACATCATTCCGCTTCAAAAACTCATCCAGCTCCTTCCTCTGCGCCTCCGACACATCATTCACATGCACGGCGACGTCATCTCCAAACCTGGCCGAGATCTCCTCCAGCGAAAGCTTCGCCGTCTCGGGGAAGAAGAAGTACACAATGGGGATGAAGAAGATGCACCAGGCGATGATGACGAGGTAGTACTTCCAGCCGACTTGGTCGATGCCAATGGGGGCTGTCTGCAGCAGGATGATGGTGGAGGCGAACTGGCCGAAGAGGGAGAAGCCCATGCCGATGGGACGGATCTCCGTAGGGAAGATTTCAGACACGTAGAGGTACATGGTTGTGTCGCAAAGCGTTCTGTTTACCTGCCTGTTAGAAAGAGAAGTTTTTTCTGTCGAGAATCACGTTTACACGTACCCTTGGAAGGTGAGGTATAGAAAGACGAAAAAGACGCCTGCTGCGTTGCCGGCTTGGTTGGAGGTTCCTCCGTACTGCGCAATGCACCCAACGAGACCTGATGTTGTAACGAGGCAGCCAAACAGGCCCGTCATGAACATCCACCGCCGGGAGTTGACCTTGTCGTGTAGCCATGCACCGAGCGGGTTGTAAATCAGACCAGCTGTTGTGAGCCATAGCGCTGACAGGAGGAGAGGCATGTAGTTTGTCTGCCCGAGATTGGTGTACAGAATGACGGAATAGTTGTTCTGCGATAGACGTCCAAGTCAGTCGACTGTTGCTTCAACCGAAACAAGATAATAAAGGACACAGAGAAGGAGAGACGATGGAAAAGAGAGAAGCGAAGGAAAAGGCGAGGTGAAGCAGAATACACTTACAATGACCAGGGGTCCAGCAAATTCCGCCCCCCACTGGGTTAAAAACCCAATCATCATGCGTTTCCTGTAGCTCTTCTTCTTGATTACAGCCGTCCACGGCGTGCACCCCATGGCCCTGAGCTTCTGGGAGTCCAACGCAATCTGCATCTTGACCTGGTACAGCTCCTCCTTGGCTGTCAAATCATCCGGATCATCGGGCGACTTGCGCAGCACCCGGAGGACCCTCCACGCTTCCTCGACGCGGCCCGTCTGGAGGAGCCATCGTGGAGAGCGCGGGATCCAAATCGACGTGACAAGCAACACAAGTGGCGATAAGCACTGGACACAGAGGGGAAACCGCCAGGCAAACGAAGGGTTCTTTTCCGTGGCAAAGTAGCATGCGAAGCCCAGCCAACCAGAGAGCATGTAGCCGAAGACGAGGAAGATGGCGTGGTGACCGACCAGCCAGCCTCTCTTGTCAGGCGGCGCCAGTTCGGAGAGATACATGGGACAGGCGGTGACGAGGATGCCAATACCGAGGCCTGAAATCACTCGACCGACGTGGAACATGCTGTTTGACTTTGTCAATATGGATGGCATTATTCCGGATGACAGGAGAGGAGGGGAAAGAAACATACGCCAAAGCAGCCGCTCCGCCTTGGAACGCACCGCCAACAACAGCGCACGCTGCGCCCATCTGAATAGAGAGCTTTCTGCCCAGAGCTGAAGCAGCCCACATGATGAACAGGCTGCCAACAGCTCCCCCGGCACTGTACAATCCGTTGGCAGTAGCAATGGCCTGCGTGGTTGTGGTGCCATAGCCAGGCTCGCCCTGCATGGGCAGCCCGAAGAACTCATACCATCCTGGCTGACCAATGGTGCTGCCGATGATGGCAGAGCAGTATCCATAAGTCTGGAGATGTCAAGGTCAGCAAACTACCACCTCTAAGGGGGTTGGCGAAGACGTGGAGTTGGTGGTTTTTTGGCCTCTTTTGTGCTCGGGTTGACTCTCATGGGGGAGACTTGGGCGCAGAGGACCAAACTTGAGAAAGTGGATTTGGAGTGGAAACCAGGGCGAGCATGGTCGTCTTACAAAGGAACCAAAGGCTACCGCAACGGTGACTAGCCGGTTATACGGACTAGTGCGAGACCGCCGCTCCTTGACCCGGGTATCTGCGGTCATGATTGGGAAAGGAAAGAAAAAAACACTATGATCAAGCACTTGGAAAGTGATGAAGACGACGATGACCAGCAACAAGACAACGGGGGAGCATTTTTCAAGTCCCAAGTCTGATGAAGTTGAACGTTGCGGACCGGAGACTAAATAAGACGATGGTGGTTCATACTGAAAAGCAAAACACCAAGCCATCGCGATGGCGGCCCTCTCCCCTTCCTCACCTTGCAATGCCACTCGTCCACGACGAAGCCACAACGTGCTAATCCCCAGACCATCATCTCATCAGCCGTTTGCCCCCGTTACCCCAGACCCGCACATGTCAATGCCATCCGGAGCGTGCCACCGCAATGCAGAACGGCTCGAGTCAATTCATCTCCGCATTTCCAAACTCCAAATTCATGGCCCCGCATCATGGCGCCATGCACCCACGACGACCCAAATCGTGCACTTGGAGGGTGCCAACTAGAACAGAAGACTATGCCATCTTAACGTCATTCGCTCGACATCGATTGTGGGTTCACATCACAGTGACTCGGATTCCCCCGCTCGCTTCGTCGGCACGGCATGTTCTGCATGCCGACCTCGCTTCACTGTCCGATTTGCAATAAGCTTCATTAAGGCCCTGCGACTTGGCGCGTCTCGGACGAGGCAGCTTGGAGGGCCACCCCACGACATTCCATACTTAATTTTTGAATCACCATGACTTCAGATCTGCCCTTCCAGCTGGCCGACAAGAGCCTCGCCCGTCCCGACTGTCTGGTTGACGGCCAGGACACATCCGCCAAGTCGGGGAAACGCTTCCAAGTCATCGATCCGGGCACAGGCAAGCCGTGGATATCCTGTCCCGACTGCAGCAGCGAGGATGTCGACGCGGCCGTGCAGTCGAGCCACCGAGCCTTCCAGGAATACTCCAAATGGACTCCGAGGAAGCGAGCCCAAACCATCTCCAAGTGGCACCAGCTGATTGTCGAAGCCCGCCAAGACCTGGCCACGATTCTCGTCCACGAGACTGGAAAGCCCCTCTCAGAGGCGTACGGCGAGGTCGACTACGCGACAGGCTTCACCTGGTGGTTTGTGGGCGAGGCAGAGAGGGCCCATGGCAGCTCCATCGTGTCCGCGGTCCCTGGCCGTCGCGCCATCACCATCAAGCAGCCGATCGGAGTTGCTGCCGCCTTGGTGCCGTGGAACTTCCCCATTGCCCTGACTCTGAGGAAGATGGCGGCAGCGCTGGCCGCGGGCTGCACCATGGTTGTCAAGCCGTCGCCGGAAACACCAC